TAGCGTAGCACGGAGTTTCCCTGGAGCTAGTCTGGTGGCAAACCTCTCCTTCACGCTGCAATCCTTTGCGTGTGGCTACTTTGTCCAGTCTAACCAGATCCCGGTCTACGTGAGGTGGTTGAAGTGGTGTGCTTATACCTTCTACATCTTTGGAGCTCTGTGTGCAAATGAGTTTATGGGACCCAATGGCCCGGAACTAGGGCAGTTCTACGCCTGTCCATATTCCGATGACCCTCTAGACCCGGCCTGCAAGCAATACACCGGGCGATATATCATGGAAAGCCTGGGAATGCCATCCGACTGGATCTGGAGGCCTATTGTGGTGCTAGTCGCATTTGCTATTGCTCACTATCTCGTCGCCGGTCTGTTGCTCCAATATAACCGCTTCGCCATAGATATTGCCCAAGCACGAAGAACAGAAGGAGACCCATCTAGTGGGAAATCTAAACTCGCTATTCGCCCAACAGAGGAGGCGCGCAAAGTGACAATATCGCTTGACAAGTACGCGTTGGATATTCGAAAGAGACAATACCCCTGGCAAACCGCGAACATACTACAGATCCTGAAGCCCATTACGGCCAAGTTTCAGGCCGGAGAGCTGAACATTATCATGGGTCCATCTGGAAGTGGCAAGACATCGCTGCTCAACTCCGTAGCCCACAGGCTGCACGGGTCCGTAGGGACACAATACCGCGTCTACGGTAACATGCTATACAACGGCGCTGTACCCTCAGAGAGTGTGATCCGCTCAGTGACCTCCTTCGTAACGCAAGACGACGACGCACTGATGCCCTCACTAACCGTCCGAGAAAGTCTACGATTCGCCGCAGGCCTACGCCTCCCAACCTGGATGTCCCGCGAAGAAAAAGACCGACGGGCGGAAGAGATCCTCTATAAGATGGGACTCAAAGAATGCGCCGACAATCTCGTCGGCAGCGAACTCATCAAAGGCATCAGCGGCGGTGAGAAGCGACGCGTAACAATCGCAATCCAAATTCTCACAGACCCCAAAGTCCTCCTCCTCGACGAACCAACCTCCGGCCTCGACGCCTTCACAGCAATGTCCATAATCGAGCTCCTCCACAGCCTCGCCGCCGAAGGCCGCACTCTAATCCTAACCCTCCATCAATCCCGCTCAGACCTCTTCACCCACTTCTCCCAAGTCCTCCTCCTTGCCCGCGGCGGTTATCCCGTCTACGCAGGCCCCGGGACGCAAATGCTCGCGTATTTCGCCAAGCAAGGCCACGAGTGTCCACGCACAACCAACCCAGCAGACTTCGTCTTGGATCTCATTACAGTCGATCTCCAACAAGCAGACCGTGAACTCGTCACGCGCCAGCGTGTGCAAGGTCTTATTTCCTGCTGGCAAGGTAGTCCCCTCGAGCCGGGGCTAGATCGGCAGACGTCGCAGATTGCCACGCCTGCAGAACTGGGAAGTCTTAAGCGTCAGATGCTGCCATTCCGCGTGACGTTCCCGCTGGTATTGCGTCGCTCCGTGATCAATTTCTGGCGCCAGCCGCCGCTGGTTATGGCGCGGTCGATGCAGATCCCGGGAATAGCGATTATCATGGCGCTTTTCTTTGCGCCGCTGAAGAATGATTATGCAGCTGTGCAATCACGTATGGGATTTATTCAAGAGTTTGCGGCGTTGTACTTTGTTGGTAAGCTTACTCTATTCTCCCCCAGTTCTTGATATACGTCCATTTTATATACGCATACTAATATTCCAAAAAGGCATGCTCCAAAACATCGCAATCTACCCCAGTGAACGCGATGTCTTCTACCGCGAAGAAGCAGACAACTGCTACACAGCATCGACATTCATCCTCAGCTACACCGCACTTGAAATCCCCTTCGAAATAATCTCATCCCTAATCTTCGGCGCCTTGGCCGCCTTCGCAGACAACCTCCAACGCACCGTAACAATGTTCCTCATCAGCACATTCAACTGTTTTTGCATAATCAGTTGCGGCGAGTCCGTGGGCATAATGTTCTGCACACTATTCTCGCACGTCGGCTTCGCCGTCAACGTGACATCCATCCTACTCTCCATCTCAACCATCCTCGGCGGCGTCATGAGTCTGAATGTCAACAATGTGCTGCAGGCGCTGAACCATCTCTCGCCGATCAAGTATGCCATTGCTAATCTAGCACCGTATTCAATGCATGGTCAGGTGTTTCATTGCGTTGATGCTCAAAGACTGGCTAATGGGAGTTGTCCTATTGATTCTGGCGAGCAGGTGCTTGAGCTCTACAATCTGGATAAGAGTGGGCCGATGAATGTGATGGCATTGGGGGTTTGTACAATTATCTATCGGGTTGTTGCTTATGCTTTTATCAAGGCTATGAGATCGCATAGGCTTATGGAGCGGTGGAGGGAGTGGCGGGCTCAGAGGAAGGCTAGGTAGATCTAGGGTTCCTTTTTGTAATTACTGTCTGCTTACATAGTTGAGATACCCTTGCACATACGATTTGCTTTCTTTTTAGATGTCTACACCAGGCTCGACCATATCTTGATAATGACTTCTTGAGAAAACCTTACAGTCCAAGGGTTGAAAGCTAATCCTATCGTGTTTACCTAGACATGCATAACAAGCACTGTGTCTCTTTGTATAAGCAAATAAACTTTCAAAAGTGATAAAAGGAAGCGTAACCTAATGCTTAATGGGTACCAACAGTGGGTGGCCTAGTGGTAACATGCATCGCATGTGTACTACAAGGGAAGTGCCCATGATCTTCCACTACCTGTCTGTTCCGGTTCGACCCCAGTCGTTCTTGCGCTAATTCCCCCCTTTTTTTACTTCTTTATAGAAGAGAAATGTAGAGTCTCATATCACAGTTGATGCCTGAGGCAGTGATCGAGGATTGATCTCTCTCCTCTCTATTTCCTTCCTTTATTTCCTATCCTTTTCAGACCACTACTAGTACGCCAGTTTGGGGGTGCCTAGAGCTCACAAACAAATGCTGCGATTCATGCTACTTTGTACACATGCACCATCACGACAAACGAATCTATCGATGGTCACGTGGCCGTCTCTGTTTGCTCCTAGCTAGTTGTATTTAGATAGTTTTCGTCCCCAGACATGCATGGATATAAACTATGGATATCATTTCGATCTTACTCTGATTGGTTTTGGGTCTGAAAGGCTGTACGTTGTATTCTAGTTCACTTAACGTCCTCCAAGTTTCGAGGCCTAGACGCCTTGGCTTCAACCATTACGCCAAAAATAATGTGGCAACGAAACTCTGTTATTCGCTACTTCGGGAACCAAGAAATTACAGTTTGAACAGATATAACACTGACTTGTTCAAAATTGATATATGATCACGTGATCCGATTTCAAACCGTTGGAGATCAAGGTCTGCGATGTGTACGTTACATCACATAAAAGAAGCATGTTGTTGACTAATATAAAAGCTTGATGTGGTGTCAAATATGACCTGCCTAATTGATCTCCAATAATGAACGGTGAAGCCTGTGACTCACAATTCTACCCGAGAGCACACCGGGTCCATCCAGGGCAGCCGTACCGGCATTAATTCGCCTTGTTGTTCAATGGGAATAGAGTTGGCTGAAATGGATCTCCACCCTTTAACAATGGTTCTAGACTGCGCAACCAAGAATTAAGCCACGCCGAGTGAAGGCCGGCGGTCTTGGCATCGGATGTGGAAGGGTTTAGAACGGCAAAAGAAGTGGGAAAAAAGTTTAAGCATAACCCAGTCCATTGGATGAAAGAAGTTGATTATTAAGGTTCTTTCAACCGGTTCGCCCCCATTAGTTCTTCCCAAACATTTCGGCGAATGTTTCCATGGTTGAAGACGGGTGGTTCGACCAGATAATCAATATTGCCTCATAGGAACAGACCTGTCAAACATTGTCTGCTAGACGTGAATGGATAACTCGGCACTTTGAGTTATGTACCTGCATATCCCACGTGTACTTAGTATACTCGTACAACATACCAGATAGCAACCTATAGCCCTATGACGAAACTAATATGTTAAAACGCGCACTAAAACCTGAATGACAACACCGTAAAACATTGCTCAACAACGTAAAGCGCAGATCATAGCAGATCGTAGCCAAATTAATCCGCCTCGGTCCTTTGAACGAAAAAGATCCATCAAACCATATTGAACCTTCGTGTCGGAAATCGAAAATCGAAAATCCGGAAGCCACGTAACCCCTCAGTGGACACCTTAAAACGCCATCCGCTCATCCGACTGGCGGAGGATCGACATTCTGTACAATGGACCTGACATTTGGAGCTAGATCTACGAATAGGAGATTTGTGTACTGGGGTCCGTTAGGGTCACTGTCTATCACTTGTTCTAGATTGCGATTATACTTGTTCTTTGTGTGTTTGACAACGTCTTCGTGGTTCCACTATTATTATGTTTATGTGATCATTTGTGGATTCGGGGGTTTTACCTGTTTGCGTTGCTGGTCTTTGCTGGATCTTTTCGAGGCTTTTTCTGTTTCTTTCCCGATGATTTTTAAGTTTTCCGAATTCCATTTTACACTTGCTTTTTAAAAGAGGCAAATGGTTTGATAGGTTAAAAAAAAAAACTAAAGACGGAGGAATGTTTTTGGGAAGTAAAGATCGTATATTTCGTGTAAATCTGTAAATCTTCAAAATCTGATAACCATCTATCTATTCACAAGTCTATTTCTTTGCCCCAATGTATAACTCCCATTTTTCCATATTCAATCCAAGTGTGGGGGGTATTCCAAAACCGTAAGAAATCATAGATCGTGACGAGACATCCTGCCCCAGCGGGAATCAACCTGCTACAGATGGGGAGAAGACATGTCGAATCAACCGAACATGTTGCATAACAAAAAATCACCAAGCTCATCTCAAAAAAGTATCACCATCTAGGGTAATATATGAAAAGAAAGAAAAAATCATCTGCCAGCTAGGGCTAGATGCGAGTGTGAAAGAAAAAAGAAAGGATGCACGGTTCAACCGGCAAAAGTCAAAAGCACAGGACAAAATTTAGGACTGGCCGAGAGTCAACTTAAGACCAGTGTCGATGGGGCAGCCGTGGGTGGCGTGGTCATCGGTGGGCTGGAGGTAAGCAGCAGAGCAGGCAGTGTCACCAGCCTTGCAAATGGCCTTGGGGCAAGTGGAAGTCTCATCAGAAGGCACGACAGAGAAGCCGAAGTCTGTGAACTTGTTGTTTCCGGCCTCCATATCGATGCAAGACATGTCCCAGAAGATGGTGTCGCCGGCCTCGGTGTACTCGAACTGGAGCACATCGCGCTGCTCAGGGTCGAGGGCCAGCTTGATGGAGATGCCACCACCGTTGGGGTTGGTGCGCCATGTCTCGGAGTAGGTACCGCCGCTGCTGGTGATGGTCTGCATGGGACCGACGTCGCCAGCTACGGACCAGGCGTAGACGTCCTGCTCGAGGTTGTTGGTGATTGTGACACCGCCGCCGTCACGACGGACCATGCCTGAGCGACGGGCCATCATGTCCTGTGGAAGAGCGGAAGCGATGGTGGTGAAGAGGGCAGCAAGGCCGAGAGTCTTGGTGAACATCATCTTGAATGATTTAAGATGTAGAGAGTGATGTAGTTGGGATATGATTTTTGAAATCTGATCGACAGATGTAAAGAGTGCAACGAGAGTTGGTCTCTTAAGAGAATGAATGTAAAGAAAGAATGTACTGTTTGTACTTTGTGTAGAGAATGTGTTTGAAGAATACAAATCCCCGGGGTGATCGAGGGGGTTTATATAGATTTTGAACTGGAGATGCATCTACACAAAAGAAAACGTGCGATGCCACCCACACTTGGAGCCATGGATCGATCCAGGGAATTGTGGGTCAATCGAAAGGCAAAAAGGCGAAAAAAAATAATAAAAAATAAAAAATGAAAAACCCAAAAAAGAAAGAGTGGAACCAGATCAGGGCGTCTCGCCTCCAGATTATTCTAGTTTCAGAGCCCAGATCGAAGATTCTTGGGGTATATTGTAGAATCACTGCAATGTATATCAGATATGTAAGATATCTACATCTAATATAAACTGCATAACGCATTGCTACCAAGGGCATCACCGCCACATGTACACCGTATATACGCTATAACCCTATGTGCAGGCCCGTAGTCAACGCGGCTAAGTGCGTGGTCACAGTAACTTCTGCGTGTTTCTACAATCTACCACGATAAACTACCCCACTATCGACTGAAAGCCGAGATAACATCGTGGCAATAGCGCCCACATCTTCTCGCCCGAACAAATTCGCCCCGAACCCCACACGTCATGTCCATCCGGCCTCCTCCGTTCTTCCAAACAGATCAAAGGAATTGTATCACAAACTTCGAACCAGCAAAAATTCCATGGCAAAGAACATGGAAGAAGCTCGGCTGCATGGCTGCACAGCCACTTAGCTCGTATTTTCGCCAGGAACCGCTGGGGGATTCGAACTCATTCTATGGTGGCCACCACATGGAAGTTTTCTATCCCATTCCTTCGGATTACATTCGGGGGTTGTTAATTGAATAGGAAGAATTCAGTAGAAAGTCTAAGGCAAATGTGTGAAGGTTCGAAGAGAAAGGTGTTGTGCTTTACCACAATGGTGGCAAGTAGGATATTAACAATCTAGACAATGATATTATGCAATATACAAAGTATTGCAAAGGTCAATTGAGCCAGTCATAATACCTCCTACAGATTATATTTCTATAATTACCAATCCAACTGGCCTGTGGCTCCATGTCCAATGTCGATACTTCCTATACGGACAACTTATCCCTACTAGGTAGGTGGGAGCTGACACTCCACACAGCTTGGACCTTACAAGAAAATACACTTGCATACAAGATATTAGAATAATCTTCGGTGTCAAAGACCCTGAACCAATGACCCATTTAGCAACACGCCTGGGGCCCACCAGACGCCTCTGACGTTGATCTGGGCCGATATGATTGACCGTACCTTGACCGTACCTGGCGATCGAGTCTGGATTCTTTTTTTTTTTTTGCCATTCGACATTATACGCTTGATAAAAATCATCCAAATTAGGCTTCCGATCGTCCAGATTCCGGGTCTTTGGTTTTAAACTCGTAAAACTCGAAAACCACCTTGACTAAGTCTGTGGACTGTATGATGGCATTCACCATGTAAATGGAGATTGTGGCACAAATTTGCAATAATAAAAGAAACTACCCCTGGTATACACAAATGATTTCTCCCATGTCTCACAATTATTCTGTTGCTTTGGCCATCACTCCGAGGTCGGGGTGCTCCACTGCCTGGGTGCCTCTGCAAGCCACTGAAGTCAGCGCCACGGTCACCCATGGACCTTCCCAATGGGACACCTGGATCCCCTACCCCCATCAAGTGCCCCACCAATTAGGCACCCTCCACTTTCCTTCTCTGCAGCTTACCTACAGAGTCTAGACAGGAACCAACCGGCAGGAAATGGTGCCTGATGGAGGGGTTAGGCGGAGGATCCCGGATCAGACATCTACCAATACGGAGCGCGCATGGCCGACAAACTAGCTAATGCGCCTTCGCCGCCCTCCTCTTTCTTGCGGTGACCAGCCAACTCCAAGTTAATCTGACGGTGGATGTGCACCAGCCAGTCAACATAGCTCTGGGCCTCGTTATTCCGGTCCTCTAGAAGAAGTCGGGCGAACTCGTATTCGGCCCCGTCCAGGCCTTGCCGGGCCAGTTGGATCGCTACGGACTTGGACCCGCGCACTGTCGACAGGTACTGCAGCAGGTTACGCACCTGCGCGTTCAGGTGCGTCTCGAGCACAGGCAGGGACGAAGTGTTGGGGTTCAGACCCTGGAGGGAGTCCTGGCCCGGCCCGAATAGGTCTTCCAGCAAATTGGGTGAGACCTGTGCGTGCAGCCAGAGTAGGATTGCCTGGCCGTTATCCACGATGTAGACACCACCTTCTTCGATACGCGAGAAGCTGGCTCGTAGGGAGGGCGGGATTTGAAGCTGTCCGTGCTCGTTCGCAAAGCCATCTTCCGGCTGCATGTTGTGCACGGGGATAATGCGAGGGTAGAGGTACAAGGACATTTCCGTGCAGCCCATTGACCGGATCATGCGCATGTCATGCACCCGTCGGTCTGATGACTCGGGTCCACTTTTGAAGGCTCTTGACTTAATCAAGCTGAGCATGTACATCGAGAACTCCTTCAGGTTCTCTGGTAGGACTAGCTGGCCGGGTGGGTGCGAACCGGAGAATATCTTGCGGTATCCACTGAAGATATCGACTGTCTTCTCCGAGATATTGGCCCGGATGTCCTTGAGGGTCTTATCCAGGGTTTTCGAGGCGGCTATAATGGTATCAGTATACATAGTCAATGCCTTTTGATAGATTCTCCAACTTACCCTCTTTGGCAATAACCGAGACCACGGCATCCTGGTCGACAAACTTCATCGTCTCCATGCCTCCTTCATTCACAGCTGCCACAACGTTGATGCACCGGACACGACGTTGACCGTCTGCGGAAGTGTAAAGCAAGGCGGCTTGGAAGTGTGCATCCAGCTTGGGATCGAGTTTCCCGTCGTAACTGAAGAGCACGCCGAAGGCCTTGTCGGCATCGACACCGGCAATCTCCAGATCAGCACCGAGTGTGTGCTGGACAAAGTTTCCGTGGTAGGCAGACACTTGGAGTCCATTGGAGCATCGGACTTTCATTAGGGTCTGATATCCCGTCTCACGAGTGACGGCATGGGTGATTTCATGTCGCACCTTGAGGAGATCGCGAGGAGCATGGAAATTAGGGTAAAAGAAGGTCTCGCCTCCGGTGAGACTAGAGACGTGTCCTATGTACCAAGTTAGCTGATGCTCCGTATAGAGCGCACATGACGCTTTCGACATACCAATTGTTGCCACATCGAGGTAGGTGCCACCAGGGGCTGCCATGAACAGATCTACGGCCACGCCAGCCTCAGCCAACTTGCTTGCCGTCTTCTTCCAAGCTGGGTTTTCTGTGGTGAATAGTTTCCGTTCCCCATCCGTTCCATGAACTTTAGGATCTTCTCTGACCGACAAATGCCCCGGACCGCAGGTAGGTAAGCTAGCCAGTGCGCAAACGATCTTGCCACCTGTAGCCTGCAGTGCGCATAGCGCCGAGTTCAATGTCGGCAGCAAAGCTGACTCGGGGTTTTTGATAGAGGAGAACATTTTGGGTATCCGGGTGAGAAGAGAAGTGATTACCGACCTAAACATAGTCAGTGATCTGTAAGAGACCGGGAATAGTTGGTCACATACTTCGATTCATATGGGTCCACAAAGAGACCTTCGCTCAACGGCACAAATGGCTCATCCAAATCGGTCATAACCATCATTTGAGCTTCATCCAATGACGCCTGTAAACGTGTTAATAGACAAAAGCGTAGCAGGGCGAGGAACACATACGGTCAGGTTGTAGAAGTGCACCTCCTTATCATACGTAACGATGCCAACCTTCGCTCCAACGGGCAATTTTCGTGATAGATCATCGCCTTCAGTGCCCTCTGATGGTGTATCCTCATTACCATACAGAGCATCCTTGATACCTGCACAAACACCCTTGAGGAATCCCCGATGAACCGACTCCCGGCTGACATCGATCACAAAGAGGGTTTGAAGGCCTACCGGCTCCTTGATCCAGTATTCCTTCGGGACCGTAAACTCCACAGTACCCATCAGCAATTCAGGACGCTGCATGCGATCCACACGCGCACCAGATGGGTCCAGCGGGGCAAAGTATTCGGGAGGCGTATCGTTCGGGAACGTGCACATATTACAGACGAACTTGCTGCCGCCAGATCGGAAGGACATAAATGGGTTGATATATGTTCGGCATCGTCGGCATCGCGGAGGACCGACATCCCCGAAGTCCAGCACGGGGATCGGTTGTTCGCCAGGATCCAGAGGCGCGAGGGGCTGCAAGATCATGCCCAATGGCAAGCCGGTCGAGGTAAGGAAGTCAGAGGCGGAGGGGATGTTGTTGAGCGTTAAACGAGCGTATTTAGGAGAGGAGTTGCCCTGGTCCTGAGCCACGAACGGAATCGCCGCTGGTGGGGGGAGGTGTTGGTCCATTGTCGGGTAGACATGGTTGAAATAGTATTGAGCGGGCAGGTCGCGCGATCGCGGGATACTGGGGATATGCTCTGGGTCAATTCGGCCTGAAGTAGGGACAGAACCTGCACCACTCGGCATGCCAGGTATATCGGCGACAGACTGCCCAGATACCAACCCCACCGCTGGGGAAACTGGTCGCTCAGCATGTTGGTTCAAGCCCGTGTTCAGGAACTGCGATTGTTGCTGTTGCTGTTGCGGCTGCTGCAGGCCTCCTTGATCCATGCCAGTATTAAATCCTTGCGCAGGGGGTGCTGCACCACCCCCGATGTCGTGGTGAGCATGACGGTGCTTCTTCCGGTGTGTCCTGGCCCCCGCATCTGCTGCAATTCCCAGCCCACTCATCTGAGAGGATAGGCCTGCCATACCAGGGTCTCCTGCTGCACCCATTGCCTGCTGTGGTGCATTGTATGCGATGCCGGGGCTCGCTAAACCCGGTTGTTGTGGTGAGCCGTAGGCGGGCCACTGATTCGGCGCTGGGTTGGCGTAAGGCGCTCCTGGTTGCGGAGGCGCGGCGCCGGGAGGATGACTACCGGAGTGTTGCTGAGAGGGAGCTTGAGCCATGTACTGTGGATTGGAGGGGTCGGTAGATCCCTGACCCATTGTGTTATACATTGAAGGGTCGGCCATGGTGGATCATGCCGCGGGGTGTGAAAAGGCGAGAGAGATCACACAATCGAAAAATGGAGAGAAACACAAAGTCTCAACGAAACATCACGTATGGAACGGAATTAGGGAATAACGAATAACAAGAGACTCTTATATTGATGATATACCGGATTGACCACCTAAACTCACTCGGATTTACGTGCTTCCGAGGTTCTTCACGTGGGTCTCCTTGCACTGGACGTTCGCTGTACTTGTACTTCAATGTGCCACCTTGAATATTACTATTATTATAGACATCAATGACTTTGAATTTGCCAACCTGTCCTCAATAAAATGCAGTATAACCCGCTATTACCCACTTTATGTTACTCCGTGTTAGAGACAGACTAGCGATTCGGAGCCCATCCCATTCGGAGGTCCTTTGATGGAACCGTTCTCTTTATCGTGTCATCACCTCATGCACAGCAATTGGTCTTTGCATGGCTTGGCCATTTTCGTCAAGTTCTACGCTTATCATATTCCCTCCAATCACGTCAGATGTCTAGACCTGGGTTCGGCACAAGCTCCATAGAGGATTCAGATTATTTTTCTGGCGTGTTCATCATCTCACCGTCTCTTTCCCGGCATTGATGGCTCCCCTTTAGCTCGGTCTCCTGAGCCGACTATACTCCGTACATCATAGATATAATAGAGGATTTCTGTAAGTTCGGAGAATTCTCTTTTCTTTTTCCCCCTTATCTTTGCTCCCCTAAAGCTCCTTGCATATACATTGGTCACATACTCCTTATCATGGGCCTGACCGTAAAACCAGACCCGGATCGCAAATCTAGGAAAGAAAGAGGAGATATCCCAACTCCTCTTCAACCTACTATGGCGACTATTCACGATGATGATGAGCTGTTGCTGGCTCGCATCGGCTATAAGCAGGTATTGCCCGCACAAGCCCTCGTGGCAATCATAGCGGGGCACAATCTGATAACGATCTAGGAGTTACGACGAGAGTTCTCCAAGTGGTCGACCGTCTCATATGCCATCTCTATTCTGGGAGTCCTCGGCTCCGTGCCGGCGACATTTGGTGCACCGTTGGCAGCTGGCGGTCCAGCAACAGCTGTATGGTGCTGGTTGATCGGTTCATGCATGGCTATGTGCATTGGAAGTTCCGTAGCAGAGTTGGTATCGGCATATCCCACGGCTGGAGGGATGTACTTTGTCACAAAGCATGTCGTGCCTCCCGATCAGGTCCCTATTTTCTCCTGGATCCAGGGCTGGTGTAACCTCCTCGGACAGACAGCAGGAGTCTCCAGCGTGGCATACACAGTCAGTCAGATGTTGCTGGCCTGCGTCAGTATGAATTCGGATCTTGTCGATGGCAAGTATTCGTATGCACCGTAAGTTAGCCAGCCTCAGTTGCTATGTTTCTAGGCTGATATCATTTAAGGACTGCGCTGGAGACCGTTCTAGTATCAATCGCAATTCTATGCATTCTTGGGGTGATTTGTTCATTGACCACAAAATCCTTGCATCGAATCATTCTGTGGTTTGCTCCCATAAACAGTGTGTATCAAAGGAACTTCGTTGTTGAACTTGTACTAATGAGCTCGTTTCGCTGCAGTTGGGGCGACTATCTGCGTCTGTATTGCGCTGATTACCCTTACCCCTAATCTACAGCCAGCGTCCTGGGTATTCGGCAATTTCACTGATGGCTCAGGATGGGGCTCAAAGGTCTTTTCCTTTTTTCTGGGCTTCTTGTCTGTTGCCTGGACAATGACCGACTACGATGGGACGACACAGTATGCGACCCCAAAATCCATTTCTACTAATTTACATTCTAATCTTTCACCTTTATTGTAGTATGTCCGAAGAAACCCATGATGCTGCCGTGCGAGGACCAGTTGCTATCCAAACAGCCGTCCTAGTATCCGGGGCACTCGGATGGCTCCTAACCGTCTCAATGTGCTTCTGTCTAACCGATTTCGAGGGAATTTTAGCATCCCCTACTGGTATGCCTGCAGCCCAGATCTTCCTCAATGCTGGTGGGAAACGAGGTGGCACAATCATGTGGGCATTTGTCATTTTAGTCCAATTCTTCACGGGCTGTTCAGCCATGTTGGCAGATACAAGAATGGCCTATGCCTTTGCCCGAGACGATGCGCTTCCGTTTTCAGAGTAGGAAGCTTCTGATCTTTACTCTCGATCCAGTTCCGCACTGATACATTATAGGTTCCTATCCAAGGTTAATTCTCGCACTCATACCCCTGTCAATGCAGTGTGGTTCGTGGTCATCTTCAGCGTATGTTTGAACTGCATCGCCATTGGTTCCACGCAAACAGCCACCGCAATCTTCAATATCACTGCCCCGGCACTAGATCTGTCTTACGTGTCTGTGATTCTCGCCCATCAGCTCTACAAATCGAAAGTCAAATTCATCGAGGGCCCCTTTACACTCGGCAAATGGGGTACTTCTATTAACTACATTGCTATTGTCTGGGTCTTGTTCATCAGTACAATTCTTTTCTTCCCGCCACAGCTTCCTGTGACGCCTGCGAATATGTAAGGCGCTTGATCCTGGTTTATGACTAGGTATGAAAAATATACTAACATATCCTACACAGGAACTATGCTGTTTGTGTTGGCGGCTTTATTGCTGCTTTTGCCATGGTATGGTGGTGGGTTGCAGCTCGAGGGTAAGAGACATATAAATTAAGCCATCTTCTAACATCATTTAAGTGGATACTGACATGTCCTACTTTCTTTCTGCAGAAAGTACACAGGTCCTCAAACCAATGATATCATACGAGAAATTCCTACGGAGGACGATGGCAATGATTCCGAAGAGTCAGGCGATATCACTGTTTAGACGGCAGCTCTTCTCTTACACACGACAACGACTTGTGGTTTCATTTTCATTTTCTAGATTACGGATTAGACATAGATTACGCTCATGCTCATGCTCATGCCCATGCTTGTTAGAGTTTTGAGCACTTGCAAATGGGCCACGTTGGTTTCGGGTTAAAATTGTTTGGTTATAAATTTCTTGGTGTTTGGAAGAAAGAAATGGCTATGAATTCTTTGTTGATCATGAAGTTATACACCGGGAAAAGATAGAAATACATATCACGTGTATAGCCTTAGCTGCCTGCAACAACAGCCAGGCCCTCGTAGATTTTCCTTTTGACAGCAAGGAAGCTCCCCATCCCACGGCCAGCAGGATGACCTAGAGAGGACTGCGCCGTTGCTTCAATTTCGATCTTGCCCGTTCCCGATTTGCGCACAGCTACGGACTTATCGATGAGAAGCGTTCCCTCGCCTCGGAACTCGGCAGTGTGGCCAGCGGATTGCATCAGCTTGCGAAGATCGGCCAATCGCAAGTCGCCGACATGAAGAGGACGAGCCATAGACCTGGTTCCTGCGGCCATGCTAGCTGGAAGAGTGTCGAGTACTGGATAGGTCTCCGCCTTGTCAATTATTTTCGTGTCTGCTTGTTCCAATGTCGGGGTGACAGCGGAAGAGGCTGCTTCGTCTTTCAGTTGCTTCATTTTCTTGCCTGAGATTTCAGCATCTCCAGTCTCAGTCGCGATAGGCTCCGGTGCTCGCAATTGTGCTGTGAGAGCAACGACGCCGAGGCTGCGGACATGCTGCCAATTCAAGCGCCGGACGAGCGTGTTGCTCAGCTTGACCATCCAGGCATTTGTATCGACACTTGCATCGATGACTTCGCCGTTCGCTGGAGTGAAGATAATGGCAGCCGAGTCAATCGCAGGGTCAGAACTGGTAGCGCCGAGCTTGACTGTCAGCAGTTTCTGGCATTCGGCTGCCAATGCTGACGTCTCTTCCTTCATGCCGCCAACAAGGATTAATTTTTGTGGTTGGATCAGTGGAATCAACATCTCCAAGCTACGCTTGTCGTGCAAGCCCATGAAGTCAATAAACGCAATCCTAGCGTTGATAGTGATGGTCTGGCTGTGGTAAAGAACCTTCGCAGGACCTTCGAATGACTGGCCTTCTACTTCGTCTTCGGACTCCGCAGCTACGTCACCATCTTCACCATCGGAGACAAGGCTGAGATCATCATCGTCAATCTTCTTTCCATCAAGGTGAGGACGCTTCCGTCCTGCTGCACCGCCAGACAGCTTGCGTCCATGGGGGCTAGCGGCATCATCCCATCGTCGTTTTTGGCCCAGTTTAGTCTCCGCATCGGTACGCCGTTGTTGCATATCAATCTCTTCGCGTTCTTCGGCTCGGAGATACTCCTCGGGGCGAATGAATTCTCCATATTCGTCTCCCTTCTTTCTCGGTGCCACGTAAGGGAACATGCGCTCGCGGCCCTTCTTGCCACGCACGTCATAATCATAAACGTTCTTTCGACGAAGAAGGATGTTGATGCCTAGGTCTTCGTCGCTGACGGCAAGTTTGCTTCGAGTAGCGTGTGCAAGTGAGGCCGAGAAGTTCAGCGCGCGACCCTGATGTTCAGGATCTGAGTCCTCGGAGGAGGTAGAGCTCGATCCATCATCGAGGGCATCCACCGCGGTTTCAAGAGTTTCTTGGCCAAGTGTTTGAGACGTGTCCTGAAGTTGGCGCTTGGTAGCAAGATACTGCTGGTATATTAACTGCTCCCCGGTATCGAGAGGAGCTCGCTGCACATCTGTCCAAGACAATTCTCGTCCACCGCTGTGGACTTGCTCGATGTGTTCGCCATCGGATCCTTTCTCTAGAGCCACACCATCTCTTCGTTCCTCGTACCATTGCCATATCATGCTTCCAATTGTTGGCGAACTCTGTGATGGTTTCGATTCTTGAGTCTGCATGTCCTTGCGGAATGACTCCGTCAGCAACAACAGATTGTTAGGTCCTTCGGCTACTTGTCGTAACGCATCCTTTGAGAAGCCCCAGTCCAATGAGGTATCGGATGCAAGGATTACTTTGGGTCCGGGTTCTGCCAGGAGCTTCTCCAGTCGCTTCTTACGCTCAATGATCTTGAGGTGTTTGAAAGTGAACGGTCCCCCACCCTTGTTGGAGCTCTTGTCCTGTCCACCCGGCCTTTGTCCGTTTGTGACATCTGTGCTTTCCGCCGCTTCAAATTCGCGAACAATGTTTTCGTCCATCCACTCCAGCATGCTCCGGGCGAGCCGGATTGTGTTGGTAACCTTCTTGCCAGCCAAATACAGCCCAGCTCCTTGAAGAACATCCTCCTTGTCGCCATTCGAGGCATCGCGCCAAGAATGTTCTAGTGCGTAGGCCAGTTCAAGAACTCGCGCACTTGTGTCTGTTGGGATGAGGACTGTTCCACCTTTCGCAAGGCTACTTCGGATCATGTCTAGGAGAAGGTCATCTCGCTTTTTCCGACCCCCCGAAGGTGCCAGCTTGTCGCCTCCTTTTGTACTACAGATCAAGGCTGTGGGTTTTCGCAACTGCTCAATGACTTCTGCTCCACTAGCACCGGATCCACCGAACCACGCAGCACCCGCGACTACGCTCTCACGAGCTTGGTTCCAATCCACTGCATAGACAATAGATTCCAACCCATGCTGAATGTGCCATATCGTTCCACCAACGGTGTGACCGGCATTGTAGGCTGTGAGAGTAAGTCCGTTCAACGGTGGGGAGAAAGGTGATGGGAGCGGTTGGTGTGGTTGGGAATATTTGAGAGGCTGAATGAGAGAGAAGTATCGAGAGATTTCCTCGGCTGTCGGCGATTGAAGAAGTATTCGGTTTGTGCTGCCAGCGGCTTCGGTATCTCCGCCTGACACAGTCGTAGATCCTGCTGACGATGCGCCCGGCTCTGAAACAGAAGCCTTCGGTAGGAATGTGGCAGCAAGCGGAGCGGAGGCATAAAGATCTTGTAGGAGCGTACGGCCGAACGCGATGACGGGGTTCGTTGCATAGATTGGGATTTGCGTGAAGAGGGGGAATGTTCGGCAGCAATGGACCAGAGCACCGATATGTGCCGGCGTCGCGTGTGTCAAGAGAATGAGAGAAAGTGTAGGAATATGCCTGACGATAATGTTAGCTCATCTGAATTCAAAGGAAACGTGTTGATCACATGCTCACTTTTCAAGTTCTGCTAAATCAAGGGTATTAAACTTATCATCCCAGCCAACATCCACTAGGATCTTGATGCCTCCATCCAGCTCCAGGATAGACTGCGATGCCCTCGAAGATGAAGCTTGGGCGCCAAGGAGAGGAGTGAAAGTGAACATCGTGAGTGTCTGCCGTTACGGCAAACCTAGCAGCCGCGATTGTTCTGGACCAGCGAGGACAGATCGGTCACGATCGATGCAGCTGTATGCCTCAAGATATTTGCTCAATTCCAAGATTGATCCATTATCCCAAGGTGTCAAATTGATCCGACTTTCGCGAACAAAGACGAAAGATACCAGACGGCGGGTGAGCTGTTTGTTCGGTTTGCACGTGACGTCTACCCATATAAACGCCGTAGAAACTATTGCATAGATCAACACCTTCAGTTCACCTTCAGTTCACCTTCAGTTCACCTTCAAGGGATCCTTTTATTACAATCCATCTAGCTGTAGATATATTTGTTTTTTATAGTCATGATGTTTATTCGGATACCATTCAACGAAGCGTTGTCTCGCGGTAATATCATACTCTAAACGGCACAATATGAAAGACTAACAACCTTGGAATTATCCTCCTAAGGTCTTGAGGACTTACTCTAATCTCTTGGATATGCAACTATGTTGTGCAGCATATATTCTTTTTCCTATTCTAATGCTGTATGAATGTAACAAATGCTTATCAAAGTAACGATGACGGTCAATGAAAATATGTACATCTGCTAAAAGTAAAATGAAACCAACAAATTCATATAAAAAGGCATAGACATCCCAAACTCCGAATCTATATAACTCCGATTAAACGACCATCCGACAAAGGAACAACCTAACGAAATTAAGAAGGTACACACAATGCACTTATCTAAACGGTGACCACCGGGCTGAACTGACTGACTGCTCTTTTGCAGATGCAGGCCGTGGTCTTCTCTTACTTTGTCCCTTGCTCCGCCTTTTGCATCTCGAGACCTTTGTACGCGCCGCAGTCCCAGGAGTTATCCCAGTCTAATCGATTATGATTAGCGTGGTTCTTAAAAAGCTCAATGAATGAGGCACTTACCGGATCCTGCCATTGAGTGAAAGGCCGATGCCTTTCAGCCCACGGGGGTAGTATAGCGTCAACTGCGGGTTTGATTTCATGGCCCACCAATTCCTCCCCTGCCCACACTCTGACTCGGCGGACAGCAAGAGGGTCAGGGAAATGCCTCGCCCTCTGAATTGGATCATTGAGATATGCCTTGGTCTGTTCCAGGAACTTGTCTTGCAGATTAGGCAAAATCTCAGGACTAGGTGCGTCCGCCTGCGATCTTGCACCTGCTCGATTTGGCGTAGCCTTCTTTAACAGTGCCACCGGTGGTTTGTCTGATATTTTCTCCGCTGCAGCGGCTCGCATTTCGTTCCGCTGTTGTTGTAATGCCTCTGCGAATGACATAACGTTATCCACCCCGATCTCAGCCGTTGTCTTCCTTCGTGTCGCGGGTGGTGATGGTGCTGATGGCGACTCCACCTGGCTTCGTTTGCTTGACTCTACAAGTCCTTCTCTTTCGAAACTTCTTCTCTCCATTGTGGCTCTGATTTGCCCGGATATGTCCGGCTTAGAATTTGGTGACGGTTGTGCTTGGCTGTTTCGTTCTGGCGCTTCGTGATGTTCAAGTCCGCCTAACCTTTCTTGTTCAACTTGAAACAAACATCAGCATCATTGACTAGGGTGACAGGTAATCAAACAGTTGAGAATACCTCACTAAGAAATTAACTTACAAACTCTTTTCCTCTCGCTATAATACCTCTCAATCTGTCCAGGGCTGAAGAGGCCATCATGGTATACTGGGGTCAGGCTATTTGTCGGTTGGGCGCTATTATCGTCAGCGACGTTGAGATTACCAGGCTGACCGGTCTTGGAAGAAGCGCTGACCTCGCTATCGGAGCCGGAGCCAGAGAAAATACTGTTAGGTGATTGTTCTCGAGAGTCTCGGGCTGAGTTGGGCTCAACCCGAGCGTTATCATCCGAATCATCGCCGTCGCCAAAGATTGAACCATCTTCCGAGATTTTGTCTGGAGCCGATTAGTTGGCATATTTCCCTAATAGGTCTGAAGTATGCAATAAAGGGCAACGAAGAAGGTCAAAGTGACCAGCCCTCCTCTATCCCAGAAACATGACAACCAATCCAAAGATTCGACCTATACGCCTTGAATCGGACTGCTTCTATGGAGCTCATTATGCCCCCCAGTGTAGTTGACACACTCGCACGCACCGATATACTGGCACACCCATGGTTCAATCATCTGAACACCTTGAGCATATACAGGAAAAGGCGAAGGAACATGCAGAGAATGCGAAAACCACGTCAAACTAAGCAACTTCGTACTCACCAAGTCGTGCATTCTTCTCATCGTTTCCAAGAGATACAGGGGTTGTCGGTTCCGAATAAGTGCCCTCTTGAATTAACTCCAGATCAAGCTCCCCGGACACAGACGACACCCTGGACCTGGCTGACTGTCCATCTTCGCTGTCCTGCTCGACGTCCTGCTTGATGTTCTGCTTGGTGCTCTGCTCGTTTTGGAGAGATAGAGTTTCTGTTGGTTCGGAGAAAGTGTCCTCTGGATTTCGTTCCAGGTAAGGCTCCCCTGTCATAGAAGTGCTGGAGTCGACTGACTGATCTTCTTCGCTGCCATCCTCGCTTTCTGGGTCCGGACTTGCAGAGCGCGGGGCAGTTGGCCATCTCTCGAATGTCGGTCTATTGTATAGACTGGAAGCCACGGCCTGCGGATACAGCTGCGCAAGACGTTCATCACGAGGTCGAGCTGCCATGTTTGGACGCTCATAACTTCCGAAATAAAAGCTTGCATCGCTTGATTTTCGACTAGTTTGCGTGGTGGATCCTGTCACAAAGTGCCTTGTGATGGGAATTGGCGGCAGAGCTGGATACCATCTGTCCCCTTCGGTCGCCTCCTTGGGCAAGGGGCCCTTAGCTAGGGAATCATAGACCTGCTCTCGGATATTTGTATCAGTGAGCGTGTATTCGAGGCACAAGAACGCAAGTTCGTAAAGAGCTGGGTATTCCAGCCCGGTCCACTTCTGGAAGTCGCCTTCTTCAAAGGTCCACTGTAAACCTCCAAACTCCCATCTCTCCCTACTCCCGGGGCTGGCATTTGAGTCAGTTCCTCGCTTGGTAGGGAGCTGTATGGTCTCGTTTTGAGTGATCACCCAACGAGGCTGTGGTGCAGTGCCTCCGATATAGATGTGTGGTAGAGGTCTGTTATTTTCGTTCTCCAGACCTTTTGGGATATATGTTTTCATCATGTAATCCCATTCCCCAATTTGGAAAGCTGGACGCTTTGCTTTAGGAGCGCTGACTTCTACATAAGGTCTGCGAAGACCTGAAGTCTCAATCCTGCGCCTCTTGGCCTGTGGTTTACCTTGATGTTCTTCGTTTTCCCCATCTTTTTCTTCATCATCATCACCGTCTTCGCCGTATTGATTTGCTCGAGGTTGCACGGTAGCTGCGCCAACTCTCTTTGCAGCTTTCGCCTTCTTGGTGGTTTTGGCGACCTTCGCAGCCTTCGCAGCCTTCGCGACCTTTACGACCTTTACGATCTTTGCGACCTTGGTGATTTTGGTAGTTTTAGTCTTTGCGGCAGGTGCGCTCTTTGCGCTGCTTTTGGTGTCGGCAGCCTTCGCGGCCTTTGCTGCAGCCTTCTCTGCATCCCTCTTGGTCTTCGCTTCAGCTTTAACTGCGTCCTTCTTGGCCTTCTCTGCAGCCTTCTTTGCATCATTTACAGCCTTCGCTGCTGCCTTCTCGGCCTTCTTTGCCTCCCTCTCAGCCTGTAGTTTGGCGGCTTTGGCGGCTTTCTCAGCCTGGGTAGGCTTTACCGGCAGAGGTCGGATCTTTGGCCGGGTACCCGTCGCCATTGCTCGTGTTCTAACCATCGTTTCAGGTGGGTCGATGGTCTTCCAGTCTAGCTTGAGTTATTAGCCAGAGAATACATAAAATGATAACACGAAGACCATACTTAGTATAACTTGCTGCTCTTATAATGGTGAGGATTGATCCGGTGATAGAATATTCAAGTTAAGAAAGTCGTGGTTGTGTCCGTGGTCGAGGATACCTGTAGACATGTTGGCTCTATATTAATAGAAGACGGAGACGGGTCACCTATTCCTGTCAGCAGACAAAGCACAAGCATAGAGCGACAAAGAAACATGCAGATACTTGCTACCACAAAGAAAATCAAAAATATCTTTTCGAGGCTTCTTTGTTGACCCGCACCCAGCCTATTGCAGATACGCCGAGGGCCTTGACAAAGAGCGTTTCAGGTCAATCTTGATACAAAGTCCATCTCTTGCAATTGGAAGCGGCTTTGGCTCAAGCTACCCAGGGTTACTACCAGCTGTATTGCAGCAGGTGTATACGGGTTGTCGACAGTACTCTGTGGGTATCCGTTCACTTCAAAGTGCCGAGGGCTGTAGAAGATGAACACCAGCTCATGAAAATGGAATAAAAATAAGTCAACAGAGCAGACTAAGGAATCCAATCTACCGAGCCCGGCAGCCGGAAGAAAAAACCAGAGTATCATCGGACTTCGAACGGCGCATGTAAAAAAAAAAAAAAAAAAAAAAAACCAATGAATAAAGGCAAGAACCGCAGGCATCAAAACAGCGAAAGATCGATGTTTAATTTGGAAATGACTATGTCAAAGAGAATGAGAGAGGCTCCCGGAACATCAGTCTCAGACCCAGAATACCTCGTTTTCGAACCCGGGCGACGGGTCTGAGCCGGTATTGCTGATCATCTCAAGAAATTCCCTCCTACTTTGTTTACTGTAGATGAGAGACCAGGATTTTTGTATTTGAAATCCAATGAAGCAGTATCCTAGCAATTTAGACACGTTTTCCTGTACAAACCCGAAAATGGGGCATGCGAAGCGGCCGGTTAGGGCTTGCTTCCAAGTGGGGATACCAACCAGCCATTTCCAAGAAGCAAAAGAGTTGACAGGTGAGCAAATCTAGTTCGTGTCCGGATTTGGAAATGGTCCCCTTCATTTCCTATCACGAAAGTGCCTTCGAAACAAAGCGAAGTGTATTTTCCTGTTGTCTGGATCTGGCACTAGAATTCGACCAAAACGACACAAAGAGCTTTGATGATCGATGAATCCGTGCAGCCATGGAGGGAAAGCTCGTTATTTGGATTGAATAATCGGCATAGCTGCTAGGATACACCTGGGCCTGGGAGGCCATGCAACTCTGTGTTATTGACTTGTGCTGAATACTCGATAGCTCTATATCAAATGCCGAAGGGCAAGTTCAATCTAGCAGAGAAAAGGAAACGCGACGTAACTTCTATCAATGGGGCTAACCTGATTGACTGGGTTGAATTCAAGCCGTCTTTGATCGTGGCCAGGGCTATTATTAGCGGACGCCTGTCAGCACAAGACAAAGGATATCCTAAAGCAACATCTGGATAGCCACGAAAGCGTCAGTTTATAAGCCTTTGAGTTTGGGATGGTTTGTAATTTTCTAGCATTATGACACAAAGAAAAATATATCGAGGTCCTGGTGTTGTAGTGTCTCACAAACCTGTCGATCTGGTTGCTGCTAGGATTTTTACACCCCAGTTGATCCTGCTAAAAATTACCATTGATAGTTTCCTATCTTGTTATCACATGTTTTGTGGTTTCCAAGTTAGCAAAACTATCAAAGCAAAGAGGAATAAGATATCCGGGACTACTGAAAGGAGATTGGGGAAAATGTACATGTGACTATCTTTTGAGAAGTAGGATCACACAATCAGAGGAGCAACTATCTTATACACTATGTGGGATACAGTACATTAAGTCTCAGTCCCTCGGGCCATGCAATGTACGAGGATGTAGGAGGAGGTTGAGAAGCATGCGGCAGAAGTAAACACAGTAGAATAGGAAAACGACCAACAAAAAATACGCATCATTCAAGCAGGCTAGGTATAATGGCAGCCACCAAGGATAGTGGGATGTCTGCCTTGTTTGGTCCGTAATTATGTCACGATATGGCAGACTCATAAAATTCAATCCTCTTTAAGCGAACTTTTGCGCAATGAAGCATGTTTACGCTCCTCACGCAGGGCAGACTGTCTACTGCCAGTACCTGGGCTCATCGAAGACGTGGTAGCGGTGTCCGCGCACTCCCTGGCCGCGGAACAAGGCAGGGAAGCGGCGGCCAACAGGGACCATCTCCTCTGGGATACGCATCTCATTTTCGGGTTCAGGCTCACCAATGACGAACTTTCCAACCTAGATCACAAAAAAGTCAGAAATGAGCACGCGCGGGAGAAGAAATATAGAAGCAACATTACTTACCTGGATCTCCGTATCTGTGATGGTATCACGACTGATTCTGGCGTAGCCAGTGCGGTGCAGCTTCTTGAAGAGGAGGTACTCGCACCATCTGTCCCAGTCGGTAGGGTCGATATCCTTCATTTGGCTACGCTCGCTGACGTAGGTGTTGTAGTTACCCTCGAGGGGCTTGGTGACGAGGTAACTCAACAGGATTAGAGGACGCGGGGAGTCGCCCATCAGCTTTGACAGATACTCACTCTGCAAGCGGCGGTCCTCGGGGTCCTCTTCCTGTCCGGAGTGGAACACAACAACATCAACCATCTCGCCGTACATATCGAGTGTCGCGTGGATTGCAGGGGCCAGCTCACCCACAGGCGAGGGGAGAAGGTGGTGAGTAGAGTTGACGATGGGGAACTTAGACAGCAAGGCGGATCCCCAAGTGTGCTTGTTGGGACCGGGACCGAAGTCAGCGTAGTAGCCAAGGTCCTCGGCGATGAACTGGGTGACGTCCCTGTTACCCATGATGATACGCTGGTTGTCGGATTCGAGGAAACCAATGACATCCAGCTCAAGTTCGCCAATAACGTCGCGCATGCGGCGCTCAGACGACCACATGTTGTTGTCGAGGCCGAAGTGCACAGTCCAGATACCAGCAGTCACAATCTTGTCCTCCTTGTGGTGGGGGGTGTAGTCATTGGTCGGGAAGCGGAGGTAAGCGATAGACACGGAAAGCAGTTGCAGCACAGCAAGAACGTAGATGTAGTACGATCGCTGTTTCCTGCTGTTGGGATTAACAGGCTTGTGAGGCTTGCGGGAGCGAGTTGAGTTCGAGGTGGCCGCAGAGAAAACACCCGCACCAATGGACACCATCATGGTGGTCATGAGCCAGTCAGTGTGCTCGCGAAGGAACGGGCCACCTGGCACGAAGGCATAGGCGACAACCCAAACGTGGAAGAGCAAAAGGGCCACATAAACGATGAACCCGATGCCGAATGTGCTCGCAGGCGAGTGACGAACGCTGGATGCAACCAGAACTGGAGCAACCGCCATGATATAGAACGCAAGAACAAGGGCACCATAGAATCCAGTCCAGTGGTGGTAGCAAGTAAGAAGAGCAGCACCAATAGAGCCGACACCGAAGGCAGTCCAGCTTCCAGCGATTCCAGGGTGGAAGATGCCGTACACAAGGCCGGCTCCCATTGCGAAGATCGTCAGAGCGCCGTGAGGGGCTGCGATCGGTCCACGCACCGGGTATCCGTCCCAGACCCACGAGATCATGGTACTCGAGTCAGTCAAAAGCGAGACGATGGCGAACATCAGACCGCCAAATCCGACAGCAGCAAGAATGGACGAGCCCTTCTTGCCACCTGCTGGCAAGTAATCACCACCGCTCGTGTTTGAGCCTCTCTGGGACCTCAGAACAGCGAACAGAGCAAAGAAGATTCCGATTTTGTTCCAGCCACCATTCTCGGCGTGCATAATCGGCCAAAGGGGGTTGTTGGTCTTGCATGCGAACTTGGCAACGACGGACATGATCAGACCAATTCCCCAAGCCATGATACGGGCTTCGAGACGAGGAGTGTTAGCCCTCTCGGAAAAGAAGCTAGCGGTCCATGCTGCACAAGTAGTAGAAAGAGCAAACCCAGTCACAAAGAGACGGTTGGCGGGATCCTGGAACTTGTATCCAAGAAGACCAACGAGTGAAATCAGGTGGAGAAGGCGAAGATTCTTCGTGGCCGCATATCGCAGGGATGGGATGACGTAAAGCAACGGGGATGTACAGCAAACAATGGCAACCTCGTAGCCAGAGATACCCATATGCCAAAGAGGGAAGTCTATCAAGATCAGAAATGATCATCCGCACCAGGGAATATACTTCACTTACACCAGACAAGGACAGGCAGAGCAGTCACGATAGTCCAGAAAACAAACTAGAGTCTATTGTCAGTAACGCAGTAGGCCAATAGTCGACTTGTATAATTTACCCCATTGTAGACATCCGAGGCAGCATCAATGATCTCAGCCCAGAAGAAGCCTTCGCCAAAGGTGTTGCCCACTGGCTTGCCCTTCCTACGTACGTGGTTAATTTCCGGGATGGTTGTAGTTCGTTATGGAATTGTACACACTCTTTTTCCAAGACAGCATCCGCAGTCGTTTTCAATTGCCTAATGAGCACAAACTTAGACAATGTCTTCTTTTTCGAAAACCAATATAGCCTTTGGCACTATACATTTGATGCGGACAGTGTCATTTCGGAAGCCACGGTACATACCCTCTGCTAACACCCTTAACATCCCTCACCACCAATTCGAAGCTCTCAAAGTCAAGAGCTGTGATAGCATCGAAACCGACATCGAACAGGATTAGGGACCATTCAAAGAATGCATACTTGGTGTAGGCTAAAGATTTGACCGATTAGCATGTGGTAACCTTAAATTGGACGTTTACAGGTGCAAGTACTCACCACCAGGAACCTTGTGGACCTTGTGCTGAATGAAATAATAGATCAACGGAACCAGGGTTCCGAAGAATAAGCTAGCCATGATCTTGCGGTACTTGACGGCATGGCGGTTGTTCGGGCTGAGCGCAAGGCAACCCAGGGTCCACGGCAAGGTGGCCACCAAGTACGAGATCATGAAGATGTCATGCCAGTCGTGGTCATCGGTCGATGTGACATAGGTCCATCCACCGCATGTCAATGTCCTGAAGATGCCCACGCCGGCAACCAGTTTGGGTAAGGTCGAGTTCGGACGCGAAGTGAGTATGTACCACAGGAAGACGAGGGCGAATCGAGGTCCGGAAGTAATAGCGATGAAGACCATGAAAAAGGACCGTTCGGGATATCGGTCACCGATGGTCGCAGACACAGAAGGGAACCATTCAACGGGGTAGCCGTAGTATTCGTTTTGAACGATCTTGTGGTAGTGCAAAGCAACGCCAACAATCAACGCGCTGATAAACGCAGCATATGCGAAAACGGTGTGAGTCCAGGCGACCCATTTGCCGTTGATCTACAAAGGATACCAAGTCAGTGGCGTTTGATCCGCAATGAATGGCGCTTTAGAACTTACGGCAACCACGGCATCTCCGTCCTTGTATCGGGGAGCCATGGTGGCACAGAGGGAAAGGCAATCTCTGCACCTATATGGTAAAAAAACAATTGAGAAAGAAAAGAACGTCAAGAAAAAGAACGAAAGAGAGAATAACTTAAACAAGTAGATGTCATGAACAAATGGCCCCTGAGGGAAATGAAAACAACGTCCGGATCCCTCGGTGGTTCTGAGCCCCCTGGACGCTAACCCAATGCGGTTAGGCGAACTCTGGGGCTGATCGGTGTTTTTTCAATGCGGGATGCCGACTTTTTTTTTTTAACACCCTACAGTGAACAGCAATCATGTCCGCCGCAACAGACAAGGCTCGATTCTTCCTAGAGAAGTCAGTGCCTGAGCTCAAAGAATACGAGCGCAAGAAGATTTTCACAAAGGTATGTCGCAAAGCGGAGTTCTTCCATGAGAATGACAGCTGATCAGCATAACCAGGATGAAATTTCCTCAATTGTCAAAAAACGATCCGATTTTGAGCACAAGCTCAATGCGCGTGGTGCACAGCCGGTAGACTTTGTGCGCTATGCTGAATACGAAATGAACCTCGATGTGCTGCGAAAGAAGCGAGTGAAGCGACTTGGGATTCGGTCAGCAGGATTCAACGGCCAGCGACGCATTTTCTTCGTTCTCGACCGAGCTACACGCAAGTTCCATGGCGATATCAACCTCTGGGTCCAGTACATCGAGTATGCTCGCAAACAAAAGGCACACAAAAAGCTGCAGATGATTTTCACCGATGCTCTGCGACTACACCCTACCAGCGCCGACTTATGGGTTTATGCCGCTAAGCACGTCCTCGATGACCATGGAGATATGACACAGGCTCGGAGTTACATGCAGCGCGGTCTACGGTTCTGCAAGAGCGCGAGGACAATTTGGATTCAATATGCAAAGCTGGAATTGATTTACATCGCAAAGCTGGTTGCTCGCCAACGGATTCTTGGTCTAGATGAGGAGAGCCAGAAGCCCAAGCCGATCCAAGACGAAGTCGACGACACCGATGCCGATATGATTGCGCTCCCATCACTCACAGCCGAGGACATCAACCCGAGCACAGGAGTGGACGGAGAAGTAGACCAGGTTGCCCTGCAAAACCTGAACTCCACACCTGCTCTTAGCGGTGCTATCCCACTCGCCATCTTTGATACCGCCACAAAGCACTTCGAACACGATGATCGGTTCGGCCAGGAGTTCTTCGATATGGTTTGGGAATTCCAGGATGCCCCTTGTCTTCGCAAAATTTTGGAACATGTGGTTGAGACGATGCGCGCCAACAAGCCTTCCAGCCCACGGACGCAGATCTGCTACATCAAGTTCCCGACCGCTGGAATCCCCCCTACTTCAGCTGAATTCCCGCGGGCGCTTGGTAGCTCGCTTGCTCGCCTCAGGGAGTATCCTATGGGCAAGGATCTCGCACGCCAAGTGATCAACTGGCTCCAGCCTGTTCAGGCAACAGAGGGCCTGGATCCTTCGTTGGAGATGGTTATTGCGGCTACCATCCGCAATGCGGAGCGCGCAGCAAAGGAGTAGTATACATAGCATACCCAAGTATTTGTACTTAGCACACATAGGCGTTGATCGGATATTATCAAAATTCAGGGTCCACTGGCGAACTTGTCCCTATGCTATCAGGTTGTTTGCAATGATCATTATCAATCATCGTATTTGTTTCCCCGGCGACTACTTTTCTTGTCGCTGTGCTTTTTCTTGTCTTTAATCCGACCCTCATTTTGAGCTTTTTGTCTACATTTTTCCCCCGTTAGATTTTCTCGATTGCTTCCACGGAAAGAGTAAACATACAATTTTTGTACGCGATTTCTTTGCGCTTGGGATGTTTCCCCGGGAATCACCTCCTTGGCCGAGCTCTGTAATAGCTGGTAGAGCTTGTCAAAGCAGGATTCCACATTGTTAGACTGTTTCCGCTCCTCGTCGGACTGGATGACTAGACATTGGGTTCTTTCGGCGGCATATCGGGAAGCGCGTAGGGGATGGTGCATCAGACGGGGCAATAAGGGCAGCAACGCGTCCAATGGGACTTTCAAGGTGGCTTTGGAATTGACCCTATTTCCCTTTCCGATTAATATTGCAACATTCAGGACCATTGGTCTTCAAGTGGAGACACTGACTTATTCACATTTTGCCCGCCCGGACCGCTAGATCGACTGAAAGAGATCTCGCAGATGTTCCGGGGGATGGTCTTGGAATTGAAGACCTTGAGCCAATCCCTGGCTATTTGTATATCTTGGTCAGCTTGAGATGTAAATCTTCTAAAGGGCAATGCCCTCAAGCAGGGTATACGCCATTGGGAATACATGAGGCTATCGAGAAGTCAGGTGGAGTGGCTAATTAAAATGAAAAAAAGACCGTTCCTCGCTGGTCTGGCCCCGCTTAGCGTACGTAACAGAAGCTTTCATTTGACTGGGATAGGAATTAGAGTGATTAAAGTGATTAAAGTGCTGTTAGAGTGGTTAGAATGATGTATATAGTTGGTTATCTTATGTACAAAAAGTAGTGATTATAGTGGTCCGTTAATAGTAGTGGTTACATCAACCACTCTACATTTACAAACTTGGAATCTACAGATATTTCTCTTTAAAAATAATATAAAAAACCAATAACTTGCCCTCGTGATACTGGATATATGCCAGATCCAGAATCCTCAACGCCTCCAACTTGCTCACCTGACAAACTTTTCTTTCCATTTCCACTTCTCACCTCTAGAATCCCCCCACCTATTCCCCATTTCCTTCTTCATCGCCTATTTTTCTTCCTTTTCACTTTGTCTACTTTCCCTCTTAGGTAAAGGCAAAAACCCGACCCATCTTTTTCTTCATCGCCCCACCTTAGCTTGCGATTGCGAAAATTCTTGGCCCGGGGGACCCTCTTCTTCACTTCCCCTACACTTTTTCTCCGTAGATGAAACCACCTCCTCCTCGAAGTCTACATGACGCCCAGTCCCCCCGATGAAGCGCTTCACTTTCGCGGAAAGACTCTGACCCCGGAAAGCCCTCGACCTCTACACATTCCCGAGCCATCGAATATCCCAGTCTTAGAGAACCAAATGGACCCCGTCTTCAACAATACATCCACCTATGAACGCTCGGTGTATAATCAGGTCCCGAAAACACATGAATGGTTGCACGGAGGGTTAAAGGATGATCAGGGGGGACCGAGTACCCAAGATGCTGGTAGTTTCCAAGGCTCGCAGCCGAATCGTGGGATGCAGAATGAAATCACTACTTCTGCATACTACCCTCTCAACCCAGCTTCGGGGTCCGAAAATAGAGGCCAACTGAGCTCAGGTTTCTCTCACCCCGATTCCACTTATTCCCACGCTGCTCCGATTGCTCCGGTGTCCCAAGGCTTTGCCACTGGGAGCGAAGTAGATCATGCCCACAACCCGGAGCAATCAAAGATGCCGGACCGCCTAGTTGCCGAGGAGCGCGTGGGACATAACGCGGATGTCAATTTCCAGAGCCTGCTCGACAATCTTTCTCTCCCCAACCCTGGTGCAACCATTCCTGCCGTTTCTACAGCTGAGAACTCGTCTCTCCACCAAGCACCCGCTGGCGACTCTCTCAAATCCCAGGGCACCCATGCTCACCCTCAAGCCCAAAGCCATGCTTCTATCCAGGCCCATTATACTCCAAATGGCGAGGCATATCACCAAATTCCGTCTGCCCATGATGCTGCCACTACATCGCCTACCTACTCAGCCCAACCTAGTAATACTCAAACCCAGAACCAGTCTCGGCCATTTAACATTGCTTCTGGAGGGGCCTCGGCCGTCAACAACCTACTTCCTATCGGCACCTTCCCGCAAACCCCATCTACCGGTGCCGAATCTCAGGGTTCCTTGCAAGAGCCTTCTGTAGCCTCCAAGAAATGCCGTGTTGACAAGCAGGGTCGGCCTATCAAGCCTGCTGACGACGATGCGCCCTGGGGTCCAGAGGTTCAAAAGAAATATGATGAGTTCCTACACGATGAGCGGATCTATGTGACGGAAGGTCTTTGGGATCGGTTCCCGATGGGCTCCAGGTTGTTCGTTGGTCAGTGTTGTTTCCGCTTATATCTACTATTCGTCGATCTAACGGTCTTTCTATGTGCAGGCAATCTCCCCACTGAAAGAGTCACCAAGCGAGACATGTTCCATATCTTCCATAAGTACGGCAAACTGGCTCAGATATCGATCAAGCAGGCGTACGGCTTCATACAGTTTCTAGAGGCGAGTTCCTGCCATGCGGCTCTCGGCGTCGAACAGGGAGCCATCGTCCGGGGCAGGAAGATACGTGAGTTCCCGAAGCCATAACTCGGCAATCTTTCCCTCAAGGAAAACCTAACCGTCCCCAGACCTTGAAATTTCAAAGCCTCAGCGATCGACTCGGCCTGCTCAAGGACCTGAAACTTCCCGTGCACCACCGCCACGCCGTTCCCGGTCACCGGAGTTCAGCCGTGCCAGTTCTGGGCGAACTAACGTCCGAGCCCCGGTCGATCGATACGACCGGTCTAAGCCCTATGAACCCAGTCGGCTTCCATTTAGCGATTTCCGGGATGAGCCTTCTCACCGCAGCAGACGCGACGACTATCGCCCGCCACGATCGCCTTCCCCGCGACCCTTTCGAGGGTCTAGAGATGGGTATCGGTCGCGCGATAGAACCCCAGAAAGATTTGATCGCCGCGAGCGAAGGCGCTCCCGTTCACCGCGTTCACCGCGTTCTCCTTATTCCAGAGATCGACGTTACCGCAGCATCAGCCCAAGACCGCGTGGTATCTATGAAGGCGAAGCAGATTTGCCTGTGCCTCGACGAGCTCAGCGAGATGTGCCAGAGGTGCAGCTCCTTGTACTGGAGGAACTCGACAGGTGGGTTGAATACATCGAGTTGTGTTTGGACAAAGCCACTGACATCGCAAAGAAACTTCGTTCTTCATGTAGAGAACGCTTTCCGCAACCGTGGATTGCGAGTGGATGTCCTGGTCCTTGGTCCACGGATTCCTCTTGGCGCCGCCGTGCATCGTCAGTTTATTGAAGGTGTTCTTGCGGTTGTTCGCCTCTCTCGTCCGAATCAAGTGTCTCGCAAGATTCCTCTGCAGCTGTTTGATCGAACTGCTGGATTGGATAACGTCCGCTTCCTCGGTAAGCGCATTCTATGTTCACTTCTTTAACGACGCCTTGCTCAACTTTTTTTCTCCCCCCACAGATTACCCTGAGCTCGAGCCTAATATGTCCGCTGAGCTCCTAAGCCACCAATCCCAAGCCATGCAGCGAGGTGCAGCTCCAGCCGCATTTGCACCCAACCCTGCTTTCATCGTCCCTTCAGCACAACCTATGTCGGTTCCTCCGCCTGGCATCCCTACGCTTTCAAATCCACCCAATATTGCGAACCTCATTGGTTCACTGGATGGTCCTAGCCTATCAACTCTCTTGTCAGCGCTCCAGCGACCACCCCATTCGCAGCCCGTGTCTGCTACTCAGTCACCCTTTTCCTCGCCAAACCCACCCCCGGCCGACCTTGCCAGTCTCCTGACCAACGCGCATCGGCCTCCCCCTATGCAAACCACCCAACAGCCACCCCTCCCCCACCCACCCTTCAATCTCCAGCCTGTAAATGCACCCGTCATCACCGATCCAACCCTGCTCTCGCTCCTGGCCAAAGGACTAGGTGGACAACAGCAGCAGGGCCAGGGACCCGTCGGTCCCCAGGTACAGAACCTGATGCAGCACCTTGCTAAATGGAAGCAATGATTTCACGACTCTCCTACTGCCTATCATTTTAATTCGAACCTAAGGTTCATCTCCTCATTATTCATTTTTGGAGCTTGGCGTTCTTACATTCTTACTGGTGGATTTCAGTGCTCTGCTTCGGTTCCTTTTTTTCTGGCTGGCCAAAAACCAGTTCTCGCAACACTAGGCGTTTCCTTTTTCCTTTTTTGCTCGTTGCTTCTCATGTGTCATAAAGGCAGTAAGATATTAGGTAGATATTAGGGCAAGGCGGTATTTAGGATGGAGTTGACATGTCTTTTCAATCATTGGACTCTTGCTCATTGTGACTACTGGTTCATTTACCCCCTTTGGACATAATATGGATGTTTCCTAGATATTTGGGTTATATTATTGCTTGTGGATATCTCTCTCTTTGGCATCAAAGTGTGTGTACCTAGCGCATTTACCATAGTCCCTCTGCCAGGGGCTTTTTATGGCTTAGATGTTGCTTTTATGGGGGTGCTGCGGTAGCCTTACTCAAGAGTGACGAGCCATCGATTTAGAGCTTGAGTTATACAGGGCATACATAGTAAGACAGAGTAATCAAGCCGTTTTAGGCTTGCAGCTCTAGCAATGTACCTTTGAAATGGAGTGGTCATCAAGGTACGTGATAAGAGAGGATATGCTACATATTGTACAAAGGTCGCCGACAAAGTCCCTCTAGCTTCTTATTTCGAATTCCAACCATTCTCCTTCAGCTCCTTCACCTTGGCCGCATCCTCCTTTTGAATGCGCTCAATCGTCTTGTCCCGGTTGAACTCCATCACACGCTTTTCCTTGAAGTATTTCACCTAGTAGACGCCAATAATCTCGAGTCAGCAATCCGCCAGTGGATAGACATAACATAGAGCAAGCTAGAAAACACCAAAAACTGGCAATTCTGAGCACCCGGTCAAAGATCACACCGTACGTACCCAGCTTTGTGAACATGCCGCCTCAAACTCCACAACCTCGTCCGCGCACTTCTGTCGCGCCTTCTTATCATCTTTAATGCCATCCAGGATATCGTTCTTGTCAAGACAGGCGAAAAATTTATCACGGCCCTCCCAGCAGCGCGCGCGGCTCGTTCGGTCCGGGGCAATGCGGCCGCCGTCGGAGGCTGCGTTCTTGTTTGAATCGCCGGAAGACCAAGGTAACCAGACCATTTTGGAGAGATGATTATATCGGAGAGGGGATGGGCGAGGAATTGACTCGTTGAGTTCAAATAAGTAGAGTCTCCCGTGGCTTTTAGCGAGTTGTGCAGCCCAAATGTGTCAGTGACGGCAGATGTCCAGTTGCTGGCGGGTCGGGCCTGTGACCGCCAAGATTGTTGATCCCAAGCAGACGATCTCCATCTCCGGACCCTTTTTCACCTGCGACGCACTCCACGTTCTAGAATCACATATAATTTTGAAGCGTCTGACATTGGATACTTTTTGTCTTTGGATTTCACTTGAAACGCCTTCCCAAATAGCATTGCATGCTCCTTTCCCCTCGTCCCCACATCCGTATCCTCGCCTCGAGCGCTGAGCTCAATCTGACCACCTCGACACCTCGACCTTGAACAAAATCCACGAGGGTGACAAGACCCCCCCCCCCTTGTCTATTTAGTTGATGCCCGCGCGCCGGCGTCCACCAGCGGGGTCGCGCACCGAACTCCCTCCGCTGAAGATCCTCCGCAAGATCCTCTTGCTACAGCTCGCATACTATGCCTGCGCCACGGTGCTCATCTTATTCACGACTGTTGTCTATGGCACTCCATTCTCGCTAGATCTGGTCTTTGGATGGGACTCGCTGCGCGGCGATACGACCATTGGATGGATGTTGGGATTGGTGTGGTTGTTGAATTGCTTTGTTAGGTGAGTTATCCACTGGTTCGACATTATGAGCACTATCCCGATCAAAGGCTAACTATAATCTCCTCTCGGGGGATATTCAGCGTCATATTCCTACTTATTTTTGTATCCCGCTCAAAGCTGGTCCCGGATTTTGCTCTGACGATTCACTTCCTCCACCTCATCGCCACTACTTTATACTCCCACTCCGTCCCTGCAAACCTGCTCTGGTGGGGACTTCAATTCGCCAGTGCGGCTATGATGACTTTCCTTGGAATATGGGTGTGTCAAAGACGGGAGCTGGAGCCTATCAAATTTGGTGGACACGGTGGCAGCACCCAAGCTGGCCCGTCGTCACAAGCATCTGACGGCGATGGCCAGCAGGAGTCGAGCTTTGGCCGTGGCCGCGGTCGAGAACGCAGCTTGCAGGAATATGAATTGGATGATATGAAGCACACGGGCGAGCATGCTGTATGAACCCGCTCCCACTCGCTCCCTCGCCCCCTCGCCCCATCGTTGATGTTCCCTGTTGGGGCTATGAACGACTTATTTGTTACCTTGTTACACACTTTTTTCTTCTCATGCCTCGGTCTACCATGGACTGTTTGATGTATTCTTTCCATTTTGTATACCCTTGCGGCAGTTGCATCTGTATAGATGGCGTTTGTTCTGAGGGAATTATTTCCATATTTTATGTTCGATAACTGTTTACATTAATACCTGTCATGTGTGTACTATTCTTCTCGGCCAGGCAATCTGACGAGCTATATGAAAAAATATATGTGTACAATCTCTACTTCCTGAAAAAAAAAAAAGACATAGTCTCTCACTATACCAAAGGCTAGCATCCATCCCAACGAAGCTCAAATATAACCAAGCGAAAACTTGTGCTGTCTGTTATAAAGCAAGGACTAACGTGCTATCTAGAATAATTTCTGACGGTAACACATCTTCTCCAGGGCTCTCATGGACAGATATTGTAGTTGATGATTTGCTTTCTCGACTTCTGATGCTGCCTTAACCTTTAGAGAATGCATATGCTACATATTTCAAAGAGCTTTGAACCGAATCAGAAGGTGTCATATATATTGTTTATATTTTACTGAAGGAACCTTCCGTTTGTCTCTTCGACGAGCAACTCAAATTCAGGTTGGAACTCGGTATAGAAATTGTGCTAAAGTTGTCAGTATGCATATTCTCAAGCACTGTGGCATATATTACCATCCACTTACAGGATTCTGGGCAGCATCGGCGGTGAACTTGGCTACATCATCACTAATGATCTTCTTTGGAAGACCATTGGCTGCTGCTGCTTCAGCAAGAAGCTGTGACCGACAGGCGTTCTCCAGCATGGAGTAGAGGATCGCTGCTTCATCGACAGTCCGACCGACAGTTAGGAGGCTGTACATGAGTAAAGTCACATTAGCCAGTTAGAACTATACACACACAGAAAGCGTAACGGCGAATATCGACTCACCCGTGGTTTTGCAAGATGCATGCAATGTTTTCCTTGCCCAATGCCTTGGAAATGGCCTTTCCTTCATCTGCCGATAGAACAATACCGCCGTGGTCTTCGTAAACACCCACTCTGCCAAAGAAGCTGCATGCATCTTTATCCAGGTCGTTAGCACAGAGGCAAACCTCCAATGCCACATCAAAAGAAGAAGAAAAGTCACTAACCTTGTGTAAGCATCTCAATTGGCTTTCCAAATGAACTCCACGTCTTTCCATGAATAGAATGTGTGTGCGCCGCAGCTACAACATCCGGGCGTGCCTTGTGGATCTCTGAATGAATCAAGAACCCAGCTTCATTAACAGGCAGCTGAGCTCCACCCTCAACAACGAATCCATCAGCATCGAGAAGCACGAGATCCGAAGCCTTGATGGTCGAGAAATGCTTGGCGAACGGGTTCATCCAGAAATGGTCTTTGAGGATCGGGTCTGCAAGCCATTAGAATACTCCTGCTCGCCTATAATGCATATTTTATTCAAAACGGAGTGTCACACTTGCCTCGCATCGAAATGTGCCCGGAGACACCCTCCCCATACCCTAGCTTGCCAAAGAACCGGAATGCAGCAGCCATGTGCTCCTTCATCCACTTGCGTTTCTCAGTTAGGTCTGAGAATGTGGGAATACCGCGGAGTTTTAGAGTGTCATTTCGGCCTCCACGAGCCAGACCCTGGAAGCATGCATCGTTTGCTGCTGGTGGTAGTGGAGGTAATTGATCTTCGTTGATTACGTGAACGGTCTGCTCTTGCTGTGTTGTTGTAGATGTCGACATTGTGGCTAATTGTCTTGGTTTTCACTGTATTTTCCAGGAATTGTGCTTTTAAGGAGAATTCATGTCCGGTACTCGGGCTTACCTCCGAACTCTTATCTACGGACCCCGCTCTGTCGTTGGAAGGCGCTGGCAAAGTTGCAGATGTCGACGCATTTTATACGTGGAAATCACTTATTTATTGGCTCTAAAGACCATGATACCGGCTCTCTTGTAATAGGAGTGTAAGATTGGTCAAGATCTCCGAGGGTTCTATGCCTCCAAACCCTTGAATTTGCCTATATTACCGCATTACATGTATTGTAGTATAAGCTGGATATAATGCAGTATCTTTAATCACTCATATTTTATGATTTATATCATCCACAGTCAGTAATAACTTCATTGCCTATAGTTATCTAGTATGTATAAGGTGACTAAGTAATGCCACGTGACCCCTGAGGTTGTTATCAGCCATGTGGGCTTCCTATCTCATGGCTAATGTCCTTTCCTCAATGACCTAGTCTGATATCAAAACATTGAGAGCCGAAGAAATATTGCTTCTGAACTCCACATGCCCCTGATTGGCTGGTTCGAAGGTGTTCTCTAATTACTTTGCTCTTTTCTTCTATGTGCATTGAGATAAACATTTGACACGTCTAGACCCATCATGGCGGAAGGAGATCCGTCATACATAGACTATGAGGCCTTCTTAGACCCAGACTTCTCACCAGCTTCATTCGCCAATACATTGGTGACAAGCACAAACAATGCAACAGATACCCCGTTGGATTTATCAACGCCATTGTCACGGGTACTCTTCGATCTTCAGGAGATCGACACACACATCCATGCATTGACAACCAAATCAGCACTCCCATTGCTTTCACACACCCAAAGCCAAACTTCTGCTGCTGATAATATCCTAAAAGAATCAGGGACGCAGATTGCTTCCGTGACTCAAGGGTACGAGCGCCTCCAAAAGGAGGTTGGACAAAAATGGGAAGCAGCCAACGAAGCCCGTGTTGCTGCTGAAAACTCGCTTGAAACTGTCCGCCTAGCAAGGGCCGTTGCGCGCTGCGCAACCCTGGGCAGACAGCTGGAGAGCCAAGTTTCGGAAATTACAGGCCGAGGTGCAACAGGGCCGGCCCTCTCAGCCGGACCAGATGGACCAGCATCGCCGTCAGCTGGAAAAGATGGCTTCCGCGCACTGGAACGAGCAGCATACACAATTTTGAACCTGCGCGAAATGTTCTCAGCCACGTCACAGGGCGAGGAAGGCTATGGATTAGATCGGGTGAAGGTCACTCGCACTCTACGTGTGGAATTCGTCATTCCCGCAGAAAACATGGTCAAATCGAGAGCGCAACAGACCATCAACAGATTCTCTTTGTCCTCGAATTCGGCAAGCGCCAATGGCCAATCATCCATGCCATCTAGCTATAAGCAAGCCCGCGATGCCCGAGCACGACTAGCAACCGCCGCCACAACTCTATATCTCCTTTCGCCTCCGCCAAAGGGCGCAACCACCGCAGCCGACTACAAGCCCGAACTCTTATTGTCAACATTACAAGGGTTCATGCACACAGCGATCATGACATCCGTAAATTCCCTCGCGCGGGCTCTTACTCAACTCCCAACCATGGACCGAACCCTCATCGACATCTCGGCACGATGCCAAGATATAGTCGCCTTGGAGAACGTTCTCAAAAACCTCCGCCCACCACCACACCCTCTCTTGGCTTCCACCGCCACAATTGACGAACCCGCCACTGAAGCTCAAACAGCGACTTCAAACAAACCTAATCTCCTACAGCCTCTTCTCCAGGCTTTAGACACCACTTCACTTCCTTCCTACTACTGGCGCTCCCTCGCCTCGTCTCTCGTCCCGCGTGTCCAGGAAATAGCCAACCGAGGCGGTGTCTCGGTCCGTACATTGCGGTCCAACCGTGATCGACTGCGAACCGAGATCAAAGAGTGTGTGCTTCGTGCGTCGCAGGTGTCTGCTTCCAGCCTGCTGGCCGAGAAGGGTCGGCCAGGACCCGACATGGTAGTGGTTGGAAACTGGGAGCGAGAAGCTGCCGTGATGGTGAGCTCGGTTGTTGGTCCCCTGGGACGGTAATAAGGTGGCTGCTGCATGCGTATTGTACATGTTGCCTAGTCTCTACAATGGAGGAAGGTACGAGATAGATGAATTTAGTCACAATGATTGACTTCAGCTTTAATGAGAAATATAATTGTATGGAATCATCTATCTAGAGTGACACGCTTCACTCGATCTTAAGATGCTCGTTTTTCAAAAGTCTGCTGGTTAAGTGTTGCTTTCATAATCAAGAGCAGAAATCAGACTAATTATATACGAGATGCACTTGATGAGAATACCACTGTAGGACCCGACAAGGCAGTAAGAGGGAGTGAGCAAAGAGAGGAATTGTTGGGGCTATGTGAGCTATAGAGAAAACCGAGACTCTCTGTCGCAAAGAGAGATGCGGTATGTGGCGGGTGAGTACGGGAGAAGAGGTGGTTGATAGTGTATCATTTAGCCGCATAAAGATGGGATATGATAAGGCGAGAATGGAATATGGAGTTCTCAGTGGGTTGAATGATGTTCGGGCCAGTTTGTTCCGTGGGTTGGCAGCTTCTCCTTCGTGATATTGACATCGAGGTCAAAAGCTGTATCTTTCAAGATAGTAGAATTTCGTCGGGATCGCTCCTCCTCCATCGTATTGGACGAATATCTTTGGAACGCAGCATACCTGTTATCACAAACCAAGAGCACCAAAGATCGAAAGGAGCAACATGCTGGAGAGATATCGATTCGGCGAGTCATTTCATAGAATATATCATGCAGCAAGCAAAATTCCAGCTGAGTTAGGATCCCATTGCCATCGTTTAAGTTGGTGCCCAATAGCCCAGGCACTTCCAAAATCATCATATTCGAAGATGCCTTTGGATGTCTGCGGACTTTCTAGGATATGCAAGTAGCTCCCAAACCATAACATGCATGGTTGGGCTAGCGAAGCCCCATCGAAAGGGACATTACATCGTGCTGCCGGATTATATTCTTCGGCGATGATGTGAAAATAGAACATCCTGTTTGTGCCAACCAGGTTGACTACGGCAATACTTGCCTTCATGCCTCGGAACGAGTCAATCCTGTGTGCACGGAAATTCAACCAGTCCTCATTTCCTGGTGCATCGTACTCGTGACAGTGTGTGCACTCTTTTCCCGGCAAAAGACCATTCACGTTCGATGAGGGGCACAGTACGTGAGCAAACACAATCAATAGGACTGAGAGTGACGGGGGAAAGATGATAAGTGCTAAAGTAACCGAAAGTAGATGGGGCATCAGGGGTATCTGCATTCAAGGCCTGAGAATTTCAAGCTGTAGAACACCATCATCACGCCAGTCAAAAGACTCCACTTTCTCTCTGTCAGGAACATCTCTGCTCCAACGCAGCCATGGCGTCATGACACAGTGCTACATGGTTATACCGTTCAGAGATGATATGAAACAGCGATAATGTGTCCCTCGCCATGGTCTCCACTGAGTCGGGGCGAAACAGACAGCCAGGTTGTTTCCAAGCGTGACGTTTAACCGATATGAGCAAGAAGAGCGAGGGGATTTCATCATTTGCCCGTAGTATATAACAACACTTGAATATCTATGCATATTTATAGGATAAAGTCTGCCGGGTGGGTCCGCTCAGGGTAGATCATGCTCTTGCTCACTGAGCAGTCACTGAGTATGATCACGTTTCTCTTTTCCTTGAATACCTGGGGTGTTCAGGGTATAAGTTACTGCACGTGATCTGATGATAGATAGATCGGTTGGCTCTCGGTGGATAATTAATATCAAGAACAAAGAAGGTCAGCATTAATTCAGCCACTATTATCTGCAAATGGTGCCTCTCCAATAAATTAGTCGGGAGCCTAGACCATGACATGACGCTTGCATAACTGAGGCGAGGTGCCATGGAATGCTTGGCACATTCAGAGCAATCTAGAACCAAGTTCAAAGACCACAGAAGATACTTATGATAAAAGGCAGGGATTATTGCACATGCAATTACTGAAAAGATAGCTAAAAACGGTTGTCGGATACTGGGCATGTGAAACACTGGCTCTCAACAGATGGTATTTTACACGAACACACATGCGCTCACTACTTCATTTTGTTCAATAAAAGCCATTAACCACCACCCTGGACTGTCTGTGTAATTACGATAACTACATATATTGCTGCAATTGCTTCCCCCAACTTCTGCCCGCCATACCTCAGTTACCGTTGATCTCTTCGTCATGACCGCTATCGTCGTCCCACCAGCACAGGTCAATCCAAATATGGCGCCTGACTACGAGGTCAGCCTCTTGCTCGACCCGGACAAGGTCCTCACCGCTGCACACGAGCTAACGGACTCCATCCAATCGGCCTTTGATGTGAAACCGCCCGTCACCATAATAAATGTGCAGTTCCTTGACACGGATGATAAAGAGATTTATTCCTCTAACTGGAGCACTCGGATCCGCAAGTTTGAAAATGAGGGTAAACTCGAGCTAACGTATAAGAGGCGGTATACCATCACAAACAGCAACATTAACGCCGCTCTTGATGTGGCTAACGAGGATGGTTTCGACGCTACCCACAATAAATACGAGGCACAGGTCGAATCGGATTTCCAGATGAAGACACTTTCTATTAGCCGCAAGAAAAAAGGACTGGATGTTGGGATTGGCCATACGGACCTGCCGGTGGAAAGTGACTCGCGTCAGATGCTAATCGACGAAGCGCCGGACAAGTTCGACAAATGGAAGCCTTACAAATCGCAGCCAAACAAATGGCATCCTAAAACCTGGGGCACCAGCGCCTTGAAGGAATCGCGCATCTTCGGTCCAGTCCTCATGAGTCGCTTCACAGGTTCGTGGAATGGGCTAAAGCTTTACCTCGAGGTCTGGCCGCTACGGAACTCCACGGGTACAGGCATTGAACACTTCGTTGAGGCTTCTTTCAAGACAGACTCTGAAGCAACCGCTTCGGTTGAACAGAGCAACCTAGTAGCCTTCTTGAAGAGTAAGAATTGGTTACTTCAACAGGACTCGTCAATGACCAAGCTCATTATGGGCCGTTATTGATGGGCAAAGTTAGTGGGCCCTCGGTTCGTTCTTAACTTGGCTTCCGCGACGAAGGGTCCTGGAAAGAAAGCGTGGCGCAGGCACAGTATGGTTAAATTGCTGATCAGACCGAACCGAGCTGGGTCTCCGGTGTCTAGGTTCTCCGTTTGCTATCGTGTATATTACGCCGAAACTGCCGTTTCTTGTTACTAAAGTCGTGTAATGGTCTTATAATATTTGGCTACTCTGTGCTGTACCCGTTATCGAAGAGTAAATCTTTAAGGCCGGCGTTCGCCTGGCGACCTGGATGAACTCCATCGTAGAGAAACAACGTGCCAAAGCTGCATTTATTGCTCAGGGTAGTGGATCCTACGAGCTGTGAGCTCGGTAGGCCAGCGACTGTAGGAGGGAGAGATGGTGATTGCAAGGGTCAGATTGGACTGTAAGGCTATTGGTGTTAATCAAATTGTACCCGAAGTATGCCCAAATCTGTTTAGTATCAGTCGCAGCCTCGGCCCTATGTCTTTCAGTCCCACGTCTACTTTCTAGCTTTAGGCTCAGTAGCGGCGTCAAATGATAACATGGTAGTCGGGCTGCGGCTGTCACCATCCTCATGTGTATGGAGTAGATTCACGCTTTTGTATTTAGACAGGCAATAATAATGATATTGATCAGCAGCAATAAAGAACGTAGTTATAGATACGACATACGCCTACATCTCTAGATAACTAAACGCCATTAACATACTAAGAGCATAAATAACTAGTCTAGATTTTTTATTGGCTCCAATAGCACGGCCTATCCTACTTCAAGTTGAACACGCTAAGACTAAGGATAGATAGACATCAAGTAGCCCCAAATATCGAGAGACCAATGACCTATAATGACTTAGTAGATCATTACAGTAACTAGTGGCTGATAGGATTCCTAATCTAACTACGTCGTCCGGATATTATATACTGCAGGGTAGAGATTAAGCTCCACTCCAAAAGATAGTTCAGTTCCGTGCAAACATGTTACATGGATTAAAAAGGCAGAATAAATTATAAGAGCGACGGCACAGGGCGCATTTTTTGCGCTTCAGTAACATGATAGCAATAAAAGCATATCTTAGAGATATCAATCGAGCGTGTTTGGGTGCACCTTCCTAATTAGCCCTTTCAATTGTTTCTCTAATCGAGACGCTTCAAATACGGGAATCTTGCGATGACTATTCTTTAAAACCCACCCAGAACCATCTGACTTCTCCAAGACACGAGAAGGCCAATAAGCTGGCCTATCAGGGGACTGAAGGTTACGTGCCTTGCCCGATTCATGAATACTTTCGTTGGTGATGCCTTCTTCATGACCGAGAGCTTTGCACCCGAGCGGTTTTCGCGCTGAACGACCTTTAGAAGATTTCAAAAGTGTCGAGATATTCCACTTAACCGGATTAGCATCGCCAAAACTTGTGGCCCAAGGCGTCGAGCTCTCTGGCTTGACTCGTTGCGAAAACCCATCATGAAAATAATCAAGATCGATGGAGAGTTGGCCGTCTTTCGTGCATTGAGAGACCATCCACGCTAGTGCAATGTCGGCTAGCCTAGGATCTGGAGCTCCACCACCCACGTCCGTATGGTAGCCTGAAAACCATACCTGACAAAGCTCTTGCCCGACATTCTGTTTTGGAACATACCATAGTACGGGCTCATATGTGTTCCTTGATTCATCGAGCGATAGGGCCTGGAATGCATGTTGGACATCCGGCGAGAGGATAGTGTTTGGTAGTTCAAATTTCTCCCCTGCGCACCAGCTCAGCCAGCTATCATGAAATCCAACAGTGTCCCAGACCCCGATAATCTTGACCGTAAACTGTTCCAAAGGCTTTGCTCGAAATCCAATGCGAAGACGCCAATTGGCATCTTGGTATTTCTCTCTATCAGCGGAAATGGCTCCCTTTTTCACCATGTAGTAGTCGTTGTAAACGGTGGCGAAATTGTCCATTCCGCGGGAGGTAAGTAAACCGAAGCTAGTGACGAGGCCAGCGACAGCCCGTGCTGTGTAAGCACCTCGAGAGAATCCGAAGAAGAATATCTCATCCCCGTCATCGAAGTTATCAACAAGAAAGCCATATGCTGCCCTGACGTTAGAACTGAGGCCCAGGCCAATTGCCCCTTTTAGGATTAAGAAGAAAACATTGTCAGTATTTACAGGAAGAGACAGAACAGAGGGTAGGAATGACATACCGCCACCTAATTTATCACCTATAAGACCGGTTCCAACACCCCTCTGATAATACACGATCTGCGATATACGCTTTTCCTGACCGTTTTCCTCAGTATACCCCGTACGACTGATTGCCCGACTTATGCGAGTCACATTTGTCGGTGGCTGAAATGTATCTCCTGTTGCGTTTGCCCAAGTACCTATAAATCTATAAGGACAGGCTGCTATTACTTGGGAAAGGTAAATGTTCAAACATACCGTCGCAACAGACGACGAGTCGCTTGCGGTTGGACCAAGGAAATGTGTCTGTCTCTGGTAATACAGAAGCCATAATGTATCGCGTCCTAAACTATGTCTCTTTTTCCATATTAACAGGTTTATTCCAGAGTGGGATTCTTAAAAACACAGAATTCAAGTGTCAAGAGTAGAGGGAGGGCCTTACTATTTCAATATACAGGTCGAGAATTAGATGCCTTTGCTTGGTACAATTGTAGGCAAGGATATGGGCAATGTGATCTTTAAATAATTGACGTACCATACAAAAGTAGCTAGTCATGTGGATGATCTTTGTAGATACAAACAACCCCTCGTCATATATATGTTGACACCATGATAATAAAGGTCATATCACGCTACTGACGTACAACTGGCAACATAGAACAATAACTAATGATCATTTTAATGTTTCACAGCTATTTTTACAGTTTAAGCTTATTAGCTTATTCTGCATGATACGCAGTTTCATTAATTGTTTGTAAAACCATTGGGGGATGTTCCACTGGTACAATGCTCAGAGTGATCTTCTTGGTATGAGACATTTTAGTCCCTTATACTTAAAATAAAATAAAACTAAAACCATTGAAGCTGAATGATGTTCGAGTTGATTTGCTTCGCAGATTAAATCTAGATCATAAGCAACCATGGAACCCGCGTATCATAGGTTACAAAGCAGTCTGGAAAATTCACCCGGAACATGGATAAAGCTTGTCACAATTAACGTCTCACTTTTGATCGTAATACTGCTGTCAACTAGGAGAACGAGGCCTTGATGAGCAGACTGCCGCGAACGGTAGTCAATCCCGCGTCCGTCAATCGGCTAAGTTGTGAATCTCCCACGCCACCCCCGGATCCATGGGAATGGTTTTAAGATCCGAAAACTCTCTGGGCACGAAGCTTTTGGTGCTACTAGATATAACCACGAAACGCCGCTCTGGGTTGTGATAATCTACTCGAAACGAAGGTCTGGTGATCTATGCTAATCTGTCCATCTTGATGATCTCATGCTCGAAAGGCTTGTCACCAGTAGATAGACGTGAGATCATTGTTTAGGTGCACCACATTCCAGAGTTAGGGTGTGCCATGCTTTGCAACTTTGGTTAAGATTTAGAGCCAGATCTAGAGCCCGTTCTCACCCATGTGCGAGGAGATCCTGTTATGGAAGGCGCGAAAGGCCTCCCTCAGTCCGACAGCCTCCAGAAGCAACTTGGAACTCAATTCGCTCCGTGGGATCTTCGTTAACAAGAAAGATCCTGGTCTTCAGCCGTGTCGATAGTGGGTATCTTGTTGAAGGTGATCAATTTCTATATCCGTTGGTCTCTCTCCAGCACCGGAAGACAGAAGCATATCGTGGGTTACCGTGCCCATGGAATCTCTAACCACTGTTCGCGATGGGAGATGCTCCGCAATCGACCGTTCCAGGCTTCGAGGTATGATGCGTTGGTAATGGCCACGAGATTCAAGCAGAGAATTCTCTCAATCCTTGCATCTCGTGCTGGACAGGGATATAAAGTACCCGTTAAACTCCGACGTGAAGATCACTTCTCGCTCTACTGGAGAGCTGTATAGTACCAACTGACCACTCAGCTCTACCTTTATCGTCCTATTGTGAGAAACAAAATGGGAGTTCGTGACTACGGAATTTGGAAGGGAACCCCGGTCCTTTACGAGTTTGAAGATCGCTATGAGGACCATTATTCCCCTCATATGTCGCTGTACTACCATGACAACGAAGGCAACCCGCCAGATTTCGACCGTGACTTTCGACGCAACAACAGGGGCCATCCACCAAATCCCAACCGCCCAAAGGAAATTCCGGGCCTCTTCCATGCAGCAATCAATATCAAATCCACGGATGATGAGACTCGACTTGCCTATTGGGTGAAAAATAACATGGAGGACCATCCTATTGTCCAGAAATTGACCGGGCTGGACTTTGGCTTTAATCCAATCAATAGCGTACCTGAGTTCAATGGCCAAGGCCTTGACTATATCCGGGGTAACCTCTTCAATTCAAGGAACGGCCGTGTGCTTGTGCATGACATTCCAGGCACCAACAATGATATAATCGATGTCCTGGAGCCCGAAATCACTAAAGCAATTGAAAAAAAGGCGACCATCTATTTGTTCGGCTCTAGCTTCGATACGAAGAATGGAATTCACAAAGTCCATATGAATCAGGGTAACATCGAGGACTTTACCCATGATGATGGAGTCTTTCAGGATGGAGGTCTTCTCATCCAGTACGAGGATCACTGGACTGGCATTTTTATTGCATTTGCCTCCCAGGCAATACACACCGATGATGATACTGGCCATAAAATCCCTGGCAACACTCTGACGTGGGGGGACTTCCTACCCAGCGATATTGAGGAGAATTCTGTGACCATTACGAAAGCGCTCGTCCACCCACGTGAACGGGATGATAGCTCTGCAAGAGACAAAGAGTCAGTGACGCTTGGAAACTTTACAAATCGCCGAGTATCCTTGTCATCATGGACGTTGCGTAACTCCGCTGGCGATGTCCAAGAGCTTCCTCAAAATGCAGTATTGGCCGCCGGGGAATCCAAGAACTTTGACGTACCCAACTGTCCCCTTGACAATAATGGTGATACAATTACTTTACGCAACAAAGAGGGACTGAGGGTCGATGGGGTGAGCTATCGGCGCCGCCAGGGACAGAACGAAGGCCATCCTATTGTTTTTGCCCACTGATTTGAGCCAACTTGTAACTACCTCAGGTTGTGTCTACACTCTGCATTTGAGTGAGGCCAAAAACGCAGACCACTGGGGAAAGCCGAGCAAACCAAAAAAACACTATTGCTGCCTGGGGTATCGATTTCTGTGTTAGCTCTTATGGTGCTAAAAGTGGGTTTATTCTAGGTTGCTTCTATTCACGTTACTGTCCGAACATACAAGATGAAAATAGTATAAGATGTTTTTGGACTGGATATAATACTTATTAATGGCTTCTCCTAGCGAGCCGCTAGCCTCGCCGGCGGGTAAAGTGCGCGACCCTGCCCTTCTGCGCGGCCGGAAGTTGTATGGGAAGTGACTGTCACTTCGCGACTCCTGTGTTATAGGAGGTTAATAGATACCCGATTGACGGGCGAAGCGAGGCTATTGCGCAGTTGAATTTTCAAGAGCCAGAGGTCCAGCGTCTCTTGGTGTATTTGCTTGGTCTTGTCGAGCTTCTTGTCTTGATTTCGGATGCTGTCTTCCTCCCTATGGGCCCCGGGGACGTATCCATTCTTTTCTCGTAGTAGACGGCGCCTTTCCTTGATTATCTCATCGCGTCTAACAAAGAAGTCCATTCGCTCCATCATTATGAACCTTACTCGAATGCTAGCTGTAGAAGCAGCTTAGTGAAATGGAAGAATTTGGATGAGATGATGGGAGCTGGTTTATGGGGACATGGTGTCCTTATATAGCTTAGATTTCGAGCTCGAGTCGGCCGCCGTACTGGAAAAAGACAGGAAACTTTCATTAGACTATCCCTAATCGGATGGCCTTCGCCGTATTCTTTGTGCCTGATAGACATGATGCATGATTTTGGGGGCAAGGGATCCTCCAGAAAACAATCGGAGGGGATCACGGGTGGTATGACAAATTTGAATAATAGCATCATTGTCTGAGATGCCGTCACTGAAACAGCGCTCGAGACATTGAGACTAGCACAAGTGCCAATGACTCTTGTGTATCCATGAGCTTTCTCTGCAATGTTCTTGCTTGCATAATGCATAATCATCAGCAGTGTCCCGATGTCGATGCTAATATCTGCGAGAGCCAGTCGGTCGAAGGCGATGTACATGACATGGGTGGACATTGCCTGGAGAATTGCCTTGCAGCCGTTGGTCATGATGGGAAAGTCGTCGATGAATGACATGGCGACGGTGATGATTGTTAGTGGACAAATTCGGAAAGTTGAACATTGAAAACAGAATCTAAATAGCCCAAGGAGGCGTTCATGCCATTCTCAGGAGAACATAGCATTCCATCAAAACGGACGCGTGGCGACGGAGAAGTGCATGATCAGCGGCGGTATGCCTTTCCTAGCCCGGGGTTCTGGCGTATACTCGACATCCATGCCGTTGTCCTTTTGCCAAACAATGATTGCGGGTGTTGCTGCGAGTGGGGGTTGTCATTTTGAAGATCATCGGCTTCTCCAAGTAGGAGTTGATTGTTCGATATGCCAGAACTAGTCTGGTTTCAAAGGATGGTAGGATGTACTAATCGGATAGACGAAACTTCGAAGGTCGAGAACGGTTGTATCCAGGAAAATGCGGTGTATGTAGAATAGAACCCCGGTAATAGTGACAAAGCTCAGATCGGAGACATCATCTCGTTGAGCATGTGTCATGGTTTTTAAGTTGCTCGACGAAGAACTGCCAATCATCAACCGTACACAGAAGGTTGATATCAACCTGCCAGACTTGCTGAAAGACAAATTATTGTCACCTGGACAACATCCCAGTTTCCATCGTAGCTCAACGATTTTGCCAGTAGCCTAGATAGAGAAGCATGAAGAGAAGAAGACAAAATATGAGACAAGAGAAGGTGAAGAGCCACTCTGGTCCAGGGTTGAGGCAACCAGGTCGAAAGATTGCTTGTTGATGTTGTTGTCTAGGGACGGTGGACCTAACAGGGGGTTAAAACGACGACAACAATCATGATTGACAACAGAAGATACAACTCACTGTTCATGTGCCTGTCCGCTTAGGTCTTGGCTCGTCTCCCACGTGGACCAAACAGCTGTGACAGAGCTGATGGAGGAATTTTGGCTCGGGCATCAGACATTCGACTCGACTTCAGGATATTATCCCTTGTGCTGCTCCGTTCGTTGCAGTTTCCACGGAGAAAGTGTTTAACAGTAGTTGCTCCATGTCTTGGAGGGGTGTTTTAATGTCCAAGAGTACACCCATGATGTGTCGGAAGAAACTTAGGTGCACATATTATAGGTGGTTACAGAAGGTGATAGGCTCTGGGGAGAGGGAGGGGAAAAGACAAGAGCAGAGGGGGGATTAGGAGGGGGAAGGGGAATAGAGGTGGCGGAACTGAAGAAGTACGTTAGATTTGGAGAGCAGAAGAAAAGGAACAGGAAGGGAAAGAAGGCAGAAGGTTCTAGTCCCCAATACTCCGACAATGCATCTACTCCATGGATATGCTTATTTGAGCCTCCAACGTTTGAATGTAGACGGGTTAGTCTAGAATATACACATATTTCGAAAATGAATTAGTAGAAGCTCTAAATATACACCCTACCCTATGTAAACAAAAGGTCAACATCGCATTTTCAGACTTTGCTTTTCTACCGAATGATTCTAAACATCTGATTTGGTATTCACATCAAACACCCTTATGTCCTCGGCTTCGGAATAGCTAGCACTATTCCGAATTCTACCACAGCTATAAATATTCAAACCTTGTTGTCGCACCATGGGCAATAGACCCTTGGAAGCAACAAACACCCAGCCCCAGGGCCGCAAGTCCCAGGTACCAGCAACCAGCCGCACCCAAAGCCAAGGCGCGAACAACTAGCGTACCTGACCAGGAACAAAGAAACCCAGTCGGTACCCTGGGACGACCACCACAGCACCAGATTATCGGGATCGAATGCATCAGCTCGCACAGAATCAAAAACCTCCGAGCATCAGAAAATAATCATGCATAAATGCATATACACGTCAGGATGTACGGCAGATAAGCGGGTAGATCTACATCTGCAACTACGTTGTACAAGTACCTGAACGCGGTGGGTGTTCCAGAGTCAGATGACTCCCACGGGATGTACCACGGTGCTGGGAATCTCTAGGCAGTTCTGAAAATGGCGGGGAGCTGATTTGTACACTGCATGTTGATTCAATGCCCTGGACACAGAGGGGAACAGATGCATGGAGGGCTCCAACTAGATTTGGGGATTAGCATGGGTACTGATTGGAGAATGCAGAGCTAGTGCGCTTTGTCCGTTTCGTCCGGTTTGGAATTCACATGTGAATTGGACTCTCAGCCTCTTGGTACTTCTTCTATGTACTATGTGTGTGTGTAGGTTAATGTCGGGGGGGGGGGTAAGGTTTATTGATGTTTTGGATGTTGGATGTGTTGGTACTCCGTACATGTGTGCTCACTGTCTTACTACATACATAATACGAGACAAGCAAAATAATGCATAATCTATTAATATAGTATTATTATTTTGTTAATTCATATGGTCACATTACAAGGCGGCTCCTACGTGGCCCCTCCAGGTACGCACCGCAACACATAATCAGGTACAATTTACATGGATGGACCTGGTATGAGATGCAGAGCCTGGATTGTGATTGGACTAATCAGTAAATAATCGGCGCCTGGGACATAATCAATGACCAGTCAGATAAGCAGACCGCTAAAAAGGCAAACGGATCGTCTCTCTAGGAGGCGAAAAAAACGGGTGGAAGGGTGCGGAGTACCAATAACAAATGAAAAAGCGAAGCTACGAGTAGTATTTAACCATAGCCTTTAGAGGTCAAGTCAAGACGTCAACATATCCGATCGGGTTATAATTCAGGTTTATCGATAAGCCCTGCAGGTTGGTACCTGGCTCTACTTGGCCGTGCGCCTTCCTGCCAGCCTTAGCGGCGTTCTGCAGATGTATCTACAGGTACCCGGGGTCTGGGATTTCCCCCTCTTCTAGGATCATTAATCCATGCTCCTTTTTTCTCTTACCCCCACATAGGTATATTGTATTTCTCCGTACGGAGTACTCCATATGGGACTTATCCCGTGGACTTTAGCTAAAACGTCGATCATTTATACTAGCGGCAGGAGCCCCATCTTCACCCATTTCACCTATAACACCCCCGAATCATCGTAAACTATATATACGTAATGTAGATTATATGCCGCACTCAAGGAGGGGAACCATGTCTCATGGGAAGAGTAGTGTGTACCGCCTATTTTCTCCCCACCAATCGAGTCTGCTGGATCATAACCGAACCTCCAGGGCTCCATGGGGGCCGATCTGAGGCCAAAGCGATACATGGTTATTGTGATTTGCTATAATATAGGTCAAACCCAATGAAACAAGCACATCATCCACATCGGCCGTGGCGTCACATATTTCCGATGAGGTATTCGACAAGTGAAATAGAGTACATTAAAGTACATGAGAACCAGGGGTCTGAGAATGTTGGGAGTTGCTGTTTGCAGACATCTCGAGGGAAGTGGGGGAGGGGGGGGGGGGATTTTAGTAGGGACGCAGGCACGATGGGCCAACGGGCTTAGGGCCAGGGGGTGAAAGTTTCAGATGAGTTGCCTGAATGCGGTTTAAACGGAGCTATCGGATCCAGGTGACGAGTTCTTTTTGTCTTCTCTTTTAGTGGGGTTCAGTACCGAGTAACGGGAACATATCGAAAGAGGTCCAATGAGAGACTATTCACTTTATATTCTAGAATGTATATATTGTATATGAAAATAAGATCACTTATATCCCCGCAGTTCTATAATCTAAAATTATCATGGTCTCGACCAATCCTGTGAGATCCTCCATAAAGAGGGCTCGAGCAAAGATATTGAAGACTTCGTATCGGGACCATTCGGAACTCTTTCCCCTACCGCGTAACCATTCATTTGAGTATGACAAGGTGCGATACATCCACGCGAATGCAAGGGGGGTTTGGGGGGTTAATAGGAGGGGGGGGGGGGGAAAGAGGTATATCGAGGTTAACCCTAAAGATCTCCACCAAAAGAGTCTCGACCTTTTTTTACCCAAGAACCAAACTTATCAAGGCTTGGCAGTGCCTATTTCCAGGGTCTTGGGAAGATGGTTAACGTCAAGAACCCTCGAGGGTTTAACCCCTGGGTATAATATAAAGCCATAGATCGAAGGACTAGGTCTAGACTTAAAGAGATTCCAACAAGTAAATCACATCAAGTCCATTAATGAATCATGGAGGTGCCTGGTGCCTTTTGAAGGAGACACGATATCTGGTGAAACACTTCATGATTCGCATCGGTAGCCCCGGAAGGTCTTTGAGTTCCTGTTGAGTTCCTGTTTGCCCCTCGCTTCCGATAAGCCTCTTCTCATCGTCACCATTTCCTTTTTATATTTCTCTATTCTATACTGCATACATACTGAGACTTTTTTTTGATTCCATCCTTTTTTTTTCCTTTCCGGCTGGTCGGAGATATATTTTCTATTTTCTATTTTTTTTTTTTGTTCTCTCTGATAATCGCGATCAACTAACCTTTCTATTTCTTACATTCTTGACTTCTCCCCGCCCTTGCGTTTGAGAATCCGAGTACACATTCTATTTCCGCCCCTCTTCTCTCTTCCTCTTCAGAGTAAGCGCACTTTCAAATCGTACGTGAACCTTCTCCGACTCTCTTTTGGTCTCTTTTTCCCCCCTTTGTGTTCGCCCACTCTAGTAGTGTCAGGTTACTGAGTTTGCGCAAATGTTCACAGTCAACCCGGCCCAGACTCCGCGTCTTGATCTCCGATTTCTTCATAGCCCTGCGGTTTTTACGACTCGACATAGAGACATATAGAACTCCAACTGGTCCTGGGGTGATATTTCCGATCGGATTGTCGGCTTCGCGACCACTGGTGGTCAGGAACATTCGCTCCCCGGAGACCTGACATCACTTCCGCCTCCCTCTTACGTCGCCATGGCTTCCTTTCTTCCTGTCAACAACTCGGCCCCTGAAGACCACGCGATGGACGGAGCAGCTACACCCCGTGCGACCCCAAATGGCGTGCCGGCCACGGACGCTTCGTCGACGGAGCAGTTTCCGGACGGAGCTTCACACCACAGCCGCGGTAGCGATGCTTCATCCCGCACAACCTTAACCCAGGGTCAAACCTCGTCAACTTCTGACGAACAGATGCACGATTCCGAGGGAGAACAA